TTCGTTTTGGAAATGTTCTTTCATTGCTGTATATGCATAAGATCAATAACCAGCTATTCAGTACAGCCAATGCTAAGGATATTAACACAGACTATTATATAACAAATTACACTCAAGGCATTATAGATCTGTAGCGTAGAGGTAGGAAAGGAGACTCGCAACAAAATAAGAGGGTACGAACCTGGGCGGGGTCGGATGTTTTTAATGAACTTTTTCGTTTACTAATTAAAATGCGTCCGCTCTATAGATTGAAGCATGTTAGTTGGTAATTTTTTTTTCAAACTGACTGGTACTGCTAATGCGTCATAATTGGCTTGCATCACTTAGCAATTATATAGACTCATAATTGGCGTGCGTCACTTAAGAAATTTTGTAATTACTCTACGCACGCATGCAAGTCGCTACACACCCCCACGAAATCTATCGCGCTTAAAGTGTCCAAAACTAGCCAAAATGGCAGTGTTTAAACCCCCATAACTTAATGAACAAGACTGCTCGCATCAGGGCAAAATCATGAATATTTCGACTGCGTATTTATTGGTCTCCTATAGTTTTTGAATAAAGATATATTGACAAACTACGTATTGTAGATAATATCAAATTTTGTTTTTTAAAATTTGAGTATTGTACTTAGACCAATTAGCTGCCCTGAATTCAATTTCTGGAACGATTATTAGTGCGGATAATTTGCCACGCATAAATAATCCGGCATTTCCAGACTATTCGGTCGAAGATATGCAGCCGAAATGAAATTCAGACTATTCAATCAAAAGTATACAGACAATTCAGCCTTTTTCGGATCGATACCCATACGATGTCAACTTTAACAAAATCGATCTGAATAAAAAACCAGCCCACCCATATATGTTCCTCAATTTCTTCGAAAGTTGAAGCAACAAGCTTTGCCATAATTTAATGAAAATTTGCATGGTGATTTAATTTTATATCCTGAACACAATTGTTCTTATTTCTACTGAAAAAGTCACCCAAGAGATTGTCAGAACGTTCCAAAAGTTTCAGTTATAACAAAGGTCTTTTAAACCACACTCACGGTTCATTATTTTTGGTTCTATCAGCGATCTGCAACCAGGGGAACTAAGAAAAAATGTATTAATCTTAAATTAGTTTTTTTAAATAAAATTTACTGAAAGTCAGAAGTTGAACTTTTCTCGTTGAGTTGCCTGTTTTCTTAAGGCTGCGATCGCTATTTCCTTATCGTGCGTGAGGTAAACCGGGATTAGGAAATTAGACGACAAGCAAATAAGACGATCTGAAAATAATTAACGAAAAATTGTTGTTTGTGTTGGCTTGAGAAAAACTTTATGCTATATTCTTATGCCTGAGAAAAATGTGCTATTAGCAACGCCAATTTGCCACCCTTTGTGACCCTACGGCATTCTTTAACTTGATTACCCCCGTAGCTGCTTCTTCCGATTGATTTCAAAAACTTTTCTTTGAAAAGCTGATCGCTGTTTTTTCTAATTATTTCTCCTTTGATGAAGCTGCGATAGAAGTATGAGGCTGCAAATTTTTTATTGAGATTTTCATTTATTCAAAAATAATAGAAACTTTTCTCGATCTTGTCAATGCGATAGTGACCGAGGGCAGTTCAATTGGTACAGCGCCGAGTCTGATTGCGTTATTGTTTGCTTTCATGCAAGCGTTTCAGTCGTGCTTCTTTTGTAATCTATTATATATTTAAATGCGGGCTTCACTATCTCGGCAAGCTTAAGCTTTTACAACATAATTTTTTTTGCATGCTTAACGAATTAGTTTTTTTTCACGTTCAGGCTATATCGTATATTGCAAGAGTTAAGAATTTTCTTTGATGTTCCAGTTGAACTCAGTGTTTTTTAATCGAGTTTGAAATAAGCAGCCTGATAGTGTAATGTTGTCAGGGTTCCCCCATGAGTCGCGAATGTCACCTGCAAACATGAATGCCCAAATCCTTTTAGTGTACGAAATAAGAAAATTTTGTGGTTTTTCAAATTGTTTCAGAAAACCCAAATTACAAAGTAATTCACAAAGTTTGAAATTCTTAGATATAAAACTTAGAGAAAAAACTGAGATATAAAAAACTAACCCAAATTGAATGTTTCCACTCAATGGTGGGTTGCTGTCAGGGTACCTTCAAAGGTTGCAAATCTGGCGCTTAAGTATGACTGCTCAATTCCTTTTGGTTTTCGAGGTATTGCGTTTTTTATGATTTTTTCAATTTTTTTCAGAAAATTTAATAAACTCTTGTTACAAAGTTTTTGTTCCAAGTTGCAAATCTTGGGGCAAATTTTAGTTTTCGAGATGTGACGTTTGTTATGTCTTTTTTTAAAGTTGTTCAAAGAATTTAGATATAAAAAAAATCACAAAGTTTGAGGTTTCCATCTCTATAGCGAGGCTCTGTCACGGTAGTCCCAGGAGTCGCGAATTTTGCCTTGAATTTTGACTGCTCAATTCCTTGTAGTTTTTGAGATATGACGTTTTTTGTGATTTTTTTTTTCAAAAAAATTTACAAAAAATTCGAATTTATTTTTTTTCTTCAAAATTTGAAATTCCCAACCCTGTAATTGGCGATTTTTTGGTGCTGCAAATCTTGCCTCCAATTTTCACGGCTCAAATTTTTGTATTTTTTAAGATATGACGTTTTTTATGATTTTTCAAAAATTTTTTTAGAAAACTTAAATTTGAAGTTTCACTGTAGTTGGGTACTGTGAGAGTACTCTCAGGAGTTGCAAATATTGCGTCTAAATGCGATTGCTCAATTTTTTTAAGTTTTAGAGAAGTGAAATTTTTGAACTAAAAAAAACTTGAATAAAAAAACCTTTTTACAAAATCGGGTGCTGTCAAAGTACACTCAAAGGATGCAGATTTTATTTCCAGTATAATCGGTTTTCTACAGTGTTCTTAAAAATTCGAAGCATCGGAGGTGCGTTAGACGCTAGTTTGACTGAATGCTTGACTCAAATGAAAATAGAAGATTTTAGGCAAAGGTCCAGTTGAAAAGGCTTTAGATTCTAGTATAGGGTAAATTGCAATAGAAGAAATTGTCCAGCCACTTTTGATTTCCAAAGAAATCGCAGTGTAGAGAAAAACCGGTTTCAATTTTCATTTTTTGTTCTTATTCCGAGAAAATAAAGCGGGCAAGCAGGCTTATAATACAAAAACAATAATTAGAAACTTAGTTTTATTCTACAAAACTGCTGAAAATTACATTTTTTATGTTTTTTTTGTATTTCATTTAAGTTCTTGCTGAAATCAATTGCCAAAAGTGCGTAAGTTCTGATTGAACAGAAAAGTTCAAGAGATTTTTCGATTTAGTTTTGTAGTTCACATTTCTTTTTTTGTTCATCAGCGATAAATTTATTTTGCTTCCAAAAATTGTCTCAAAAAAACTTATTATTTCTTCTTTGATAAAGCTGCGATAGAACTAATCAGAAAACAGGATAACCGGTTGCTGTGCAAATAGCGCAGAATGTTTCGACCATAGTTTTAACAAAAATAGAACATTGTTTTTTCTAATGAGTGTCTTTTTTTTCTGTGTGATGTAATGAAAAGTTCTGAACGAAAAATCAGAAATTTGCGATGTTAGATAGTCATAGTTGAATAGGGCAATTGAAAAACATTTTTTGTTCAGAAAGAGTTAAAATTGGAAAAAAAATGGTAAAAAACTAGTAAATTTTTTCTTATTTCCTGCAGATTTTTTTTTTGAATTCTGAACACTTTGATTGCCAAAATGGGGCTATAAAAACTCAAAAACTAACTCTGCTATAGTAAAACTAAGTTTTCACGGCTTAATTTAAGCTTGAATAAGCTACTGTAAGCCTACAGGCTGATGATGATCTTGAAGTTAGACTAAAAATCAAAAATCTCAAACCGTTTTTTCTCGACACTTATTCAAATGGTGGGAAAAATTACTACTGATCAAATTTTTTGTATAAAAGACAAAATTAGAGTCTTCGCTAAAAGGTGATGCTTAACTCAATTCGTATCATCTGATCATTAGAATCAGAGAGCAGAAAAGTGCAAGAAACGTAGTTGAGCTCACTGATTTAGTAAAAAACTGGAAAGTATTTAATCTCAATTAACGAATTTTTTTTCCAAACCTAACCAGAATTGCCGGTTGCTGTGCGCGTAGTACAGAATGTTCCGACCAACAAAAATCACACTTTTTGTTTGCAAATTGTGATTCTTTTTGTCCATTGGCTATGAGCGAATCTGAACGAAAGTCTGGAAATTAAGTACATTCGTTAGTAAAAGTAGAATACGCGCTTTTGACAATTAAGTTTAGCGAAAAGTTAAATGAAATACAAAAAAACGCCAAAAAATTGTGAAAAATTTGCAGTTTTGTGGAATAAAATTAAGTTTATTCTTTATTGTTTTGTATTATAAGCCTGCTCGACCGCTTTATTCGCTCATCATTAGACCAAAAATCAAAAAATTTGAAACCAGTTTTTCTCTACTTTGCAAAAAAAAATTGAAAATTAAAGTTGGCTGGACAATCTCGCCTATTCCAATCTACCCTTTGCTAGAACTTGAAGCCTTTTCAACTGGACCTTTGCCTAAAGACTGCTATTTTCATTTGCGTCAGGCTTTCAATCCAATTTGTTTAAATTGATTCTTTTAGACTTTTCTGTTTATGTTTACTTAGATTGATTTTTTTTGCTGATTTGTTCGTAGTGGTCGGGTTTAATCTTCAGGCCGAAGGCATGTTTCTGCTTTTTAAAATAGCTCCTAAGCCAACGGACTCAAAATTGATGTTATGCTGAAGTGTATTTTTATCAGACCACCTGTTCAGAATTACTTTGTTCATAATTTTAATCTCAGTTTAAATCTAACTTAAGCTCGTTGCTAAGACTGAAAATGTCTTAATTGCGCAGCAACTCACAATCTAACATTATGAACATTTTTGAATTCAATGCTCTATAAAAAATTTAATCAATGACTGAAAAATATTACATTGCATAGTTAGTTTGGTTACTTTATTGTAACTCGGTATATTTAAACTTTTTTCATATTATTACCACGTGCTAGTTATAAAAACTATTATCAATCATTGCATTTACAAACTGGCTTTTAAACATAGTCTTGAGCGTTTCTGAAGAGTTGTATTTTTGAAACCAAAACCGAATATCATTTAAAGAAGACATCTCAAATGTCTGATCCGGATCCGGGTCAGCAAACTGAGCCGAAGGGTGACGACAGTGCAGGGAATACGACTGAGGAGTCAACGACTAACAAACCCTCGGATGATGTGTCGCCGCCCCTGATTCTGAGCGGAGACGGAGGCCAAGGAAATGGTATGTCTTAAATTCTAATACAGATCCCTCTTTCTTTCCCATTTCCTCTGATTTCATTTAAGATGTGTCTCCTGCTCCAATTAAAGATGCAAAGTGGATGAAGTTCTCTTAGTTTTGAAAGAAGTTAAAATTTTGATAATAATTGCTGAAAATCCAACGACTGGAAGTTTTTCGCAATGATTTGTTAAGCTTGAATAAACAGGAAATAGTTTTCAACCAAACTATATTCAGATCAGAATATTCACCGCCATTATTGCTGTTTATAATAACAATTATATATTAAAATATTTCATTAATTTCTTTTCATGTTTTCCTTTAGAAGAACCCTCGGCCGCTCCGAAAACCCCTGGAGAAGAGACAAAGCACGAAGACGATAAGAAGGGAAGACCAAGAAAGGTCCAGAGTACTCTGAATTTTTCTTCCAGACAATTTTTTCTAGCATACTTTTTATCATTGGAAAATGAATCTTGGTTGTTATTCCATTTTGGTAAAATCCAAAAGTATATTTTCAAAATATCAATAATTTTCAGACCATTTTCCAACTAGGTAATTCTTGCACCCCTTATTTAGATCCAGATGCTTAGTACTTTTTCTGCGCCGGAAAGTTTTTAATCCTCAAGCGATTAACGTCTAAATAAGTTTTTTTGCGGTTTCCAGGGAAAGAAAAATCACCAGGCCGAGGACCACAAAATCAATCGGGAGAGACTGAAGCAACTGAAGGAAGAGCGAAGGGGACAGGTGAAAACATTTCACATTCTTTTCTATTTGTTCACGGGCGGAACAGCCGCGTCAAACTAAATTGGTAGCGACCATTGTCTGCTAGTTAGAAACACCTGGTAGCCATCTATTAAATTGAATCAACTATTTCAGTCAAATAACGTGTGCCAGCTATATTTATATTTATCTGGCTGACAAGCACGATTACCATTGCCTTCTAGTTTCATCGCAAATTTTGAATGATGGGTTAATCATTTGAAGAAACAGAACTTTACTTTTAAGATCCCCAGCCATTTAATTGTAACCCATTAATTCCCTAGACAACTAACTGATTGAAAATGAGGAGAAATTTAGCAGCAAATCATAGGAAAAATCGAACGGTTAGTTGTTCTTTATAGCTTTATCATTAAGCTAATATAATAACAAAAGTTTTTTAACATAATTTGTTTTCGAGTTTTTTATGCATAGAATTCTTCTAAATTATACTATTTTGTACAGCGAATCTAGGGAAAAGAGTTTGTTTTGCTTTTGTTGAAGCATATGACTCTAATGCATTTGAAAGTCTTCAAGTTAGTTAACTTCAATGTAAGTCAAACCACAGCCACCTTCTCTTAGATTTCACCAATTATTAACTCTATTTATGTAGACGGATGAGCGCCACCGTTACATGTGGTACAAGATAGCAGATGTGATCGGAACCGACGAGAACAATGTGGAGGACCAGCTGCTGTCGGATGACAGGTGGGACTACATCGAGAAGTTCTTCGCAGCCAATGGGTCCAAATCACTCATGTTCTACTACCAGGAAGTGCACAAGGTAGACAACACATGCCGTACATGGAAAAAACAACGGTTGTTTCTGAATAAAAAAATCATGCCGCGAAATATTCTGCAACATAGAGTTTCCCGAGAAACCAGCACAATAGTACTACCAACTTACCAGAATACGGAAGTTGATTTCAGATATACTAAGCAACCAAACTAAATGACATTTTTTCTCGAGAAAGTTTTATATTATTTTTCATCTTATTTTGTTGCAGTAGATCTCAGTTTTTAGAATATTTACTTAAGTTTTTAACCCTTTTTTATAATCACGTGCAATTGTTTCTATAGGATCCGGTACCCGTGATGCGTCTGGACGCTGCGAGTACTGTGGCCACAAGCACTACAGTGAAGAAACTGTTCATCACGAATGGAAGTCAGGAACCCCTTCTGGGAATCTGCATGTTCTTCCTGCGCAACTCCAATGCAAAGGAAGTGACCAACCAGAATATTCATAATGTGAGTACATATTTGTGCCACTGATTGGTCGATTGCAGTAGCGTGTTGAAGGTAAGGTGGTCAGGGGTAGGGGGAGGGGTGAATCCCATTTTGCGCCATCCATTCTTCGCTGACTGACCTTAAATTTTTCGGAGGGCGCCTTTTGGTAGTAGAGTTTTCTGTTTACAAATAAAACTTTTCGAGTTTTCCTAGATGTGACGAATGTTTTTAATTTCATTCAATTGATCGTCATAGGCGTTTTCAAAATTTCCAAAGGCGAAACACGTCGGATCTCTTGTCAATCTTTCGGCTCTTTTTTCCTTTTTCCCCACCTCACACGAGCTTCAAATTTATGGTCTAACGAGTGGTCTTACAAGGTTGATTATGAACACCAAATATGCGCTCTTTTCCCGTTCCCCCCTTACAAATTACCGAGTTTTATGTTTGTTTTACGTGTTATTACGGCTAAATGAGTGATGTTACGCTGTTAAGTATGAAGAACAAATCTGTTCAGAATTGTCGATTTGTTCACCACGCCAAATTTCATTGCATTATGACAACGTTAAATAAGCTTTTCAAAATTGAATTTGAGAGGTGGGGGGGGGGGACTGGAAAAGAGCCCAAATATGTTTGTCATAGCCTAATTAGTCTCTATGTCAATTTTCATTACAATCGAACATTGTAAACAGTTATTTTAATCATAAAAATATGCAGGTGGACGGGGGGGGGAGGAAAAAGAGCCGGTATTTCGAACCACCGATGCCTGATAGTCAACGAGAGAGCCTATGATTTATTTGCTTGAGTTCAAAAATTTGGGTTGACGATGCATCGGCCGGGAATCGAACCCGGGTCTATCGCGTGGCAGGCGACAATTCTACCACTGAACCACCGATGCTTGATATAAAGTGTTCTTTATTGGCTACAATTTTTAATGGTTCCCTCGCCACAAAAGTGAATTTTGCGCGAGCCAATGATTTTTTGGCGGGCGACAATTCTACCACTGAACCACCGATGCGCGATTCTTTCATGGTCTTAACTGACCAACTTTTTCTTTTACCGTCCATACGCCCCCCACCCAAAATTGGATTTTGTGCTCAAACTTTTGATTTTTTTCTTCAAGATTCAGACCAAATGTGTTAGGAACTGAGTAATTATCATTCATACTAAATTTCAATCATACTCTTCAATGAATTTCAATCAAGTTCATACTCTTTTTTCAATCACTTGTGATTTTTACAGTGCAAAGTACGGTTCGGGTGGTGCAATGTAAAAATTAATGATATGGTCAAAATCACACGCATGAGCAGGGGTAAAAAGTTAGCTAGATTTTCGCTAGAACTTGTTCGAATTTGTCAGATTTTTGAAGCTTGCACTTTTTGCGAATTGGAAGTTGTGAAGAACCTTTTGTGGGACCGCATTGATTGAAGATTATGGGCTCTTTCAAACTATTTTTTTATAGTTATAATTCAAAGGGGGGACTGAAAAAGAGCCGTAATATGCATGTGTTCTTCTTGTTTAGGACGTGAACTTTGGGATGATGGATGCTACCAACAGTAGTGTTCTGGAGGCCCTGGAGACATACATGTCCACTACTCTGGTGCCGGCTCTCAAGGCATGTTCCCCTGATGTAAGTATAATAAGTTCACATACTAATTAGAGTTGTATAATTTAAAATGATCTGATCGTGGATTGTCTTGTAGGATACTTTTTTGACCCTTTTCACGACTTATATAAACATTTTAAAATTTGAGGCAATTGTCTCATTTCGCGACCAAAAAATCTTAGTCTGGTTTGGACAAGGTTTTATAAAAGAAGACAACGTCTAAAAATGTCGTGTCGCATTACGGTCGCGATAGTCTGGAACTTTAAAGCAAAGTTGGCGATCTACCATGAAGTTGTAAATTTACTAAGTGTCATCTTGTGAATTTTTTTTCCTGCCTGAAAACGGTTTATTAGTATATTTACTAAACCTGGACATAAGTCCCGGACTAAACGTTATGAACTAAGAGGTATAATGTTGACACATTGTCTCAAACAAAAATTCTGAGAAGTTATAATTGGCGACAAGAAGTTACTGGTTCTTGAGAAAAAAAAGATTAGAAGTTCCACCAATATAATCATTCTATTGCAGTTTTTGTCTTCTAGCTATGGTTGTTTTTCCGTTTCCCTACCTGAAAGTTTTTATTTGATAAATTGTTTTTTGCCTTTTTCGATTGTTCGATTGTTTTGAAAAGTGGCGCACGGACTAATTAGACTATTCCGAACACCCTTGGTCTTCATATATAGCCTTGTAAAACCACTAGTTACATACAAAGTTGATGCTAAAGTGAGGCGTGGAGGTGAACCTTAGTTTGTGATGTTTTGGTGTTTTCTTTAGGCGTGGGGTTCGCTGAAGAACAGCAAGAGTGGTCAAGTGAGGGAGTTCCTGGACTCTCTGGACAAGTTTGTATCCACTCTGGGAGCGGCGAGGAGTTCGCTCGAAGGCCAGATTCAACTGCACGAGTATGAATACACGCCCATCATCGACATGCTATCCACTCCAAATGGGTAAGAGTTGCAATCTAATTATAAATGAGATATTCACATGTTTCATTGGCACTTATATATTTCCCCCCAATCGTAATTTTTTAATATGTTCAACAATCGTTCACGTAGTTCAGTTGTCATGAAATTTAGCGCGTAAATAACCCACTTTCTAACCCATTTTATCTAGATATACAAACCCGTAAATACAATGGTTACACAATAATCATTGATGTTAATACTGGTTATGTTAAAATATTAGGATACCACTCGTGTTGTAAAAGAGTGACTTAAACTAGGAATAGATTAAGACTGTGGATGTTTAAGATTCCTACTAAAATAGTAGGCTTTTATTTAAAACTAAATAAAAGACGGAGATTCTAACTAAGATAAAATACGTGTTAAAAGATTGAATTGGTTACGTTTGTTTTGTTACGTATCATAAAAGATAGTGTCCAATTCAGAGTCTACCAAAAGCCGATGCGCTTTTGGCAGGTATATAAATTAACAACTAAAGGTCGGCGGTAAGTTAAGATCAGAGGTTAAATAGACAAACCATAATACTTTTACATTCCCCGCGAAATTTATCTCTAAACTATCCCTTTCGCCTCATCAGAAGGGAATAAAACAAAAATGATTAAGCACTAAGATGGATGAATTAGTAAGCGCATTATCTAGGACCCCCCCGAGAGTGGATCTAGAATCGTTAATACGAACTTGGTAAAGGGCCCAAAAGGCGTATTATAAACTGAGAAGAATAACACGGTTGTCAGGTGTAAAGGGTGGGTGTACAAAACGAGGACTACCAATGATCGAGCCCGATGGGCCGGACGGCATGTTCGTCAAACAAAAACAAAATTCCAAAACAAAGCACCTTAGATCGAATAATATGTATTCGCCGAGAAATAACTGTAGGTTAGTGACAAAGGGCAAGTAAGGAACTGAAATAGCACCAGGGTGACTAAGATCATAAGGTATGCAGAAAGTTGTCGTAAAATTAAGCGGAATACTGGGTATAACCAAAATGAATAAATCTAATTGTTATCCGATGGTAACGCCCCATGGGTGAACAGAACTTTAATGGAGTTCGGCAAAATTCTATAGCCAAAACAAGGGAATAAATGTTACCAATCATCACCATAACTTAAAATAACAGCACTAGAGGTTTGTATGACCCTAGGGTCCTGGAATGTTAGGCGATAAACCATAAACAGAACCTATAGGTGCTAAAAGTTTTACAATGGAGTTTTGATAGGTTGAGAATGTTTTTGATGACATCTGTTTTTGAGCTCCTGCGTCTAATCAGATTCCCGATTTGCTGCTTTATTTATAGTCCATCTTCTTAGCTCCTCCAGCGTCATTGGCCGTCCAAGGAGTTCTATCGCCGAAATGATAGAGGAGGTGTTCAGCCAGTCTGGGTCAGATACGATGGGTATAAATGTAGGAGTTGAAATTTCATTAGATAGGCCCGATGGGTTAAATCGGGTGGAACAAACATCAGGGCTAAATTTGACGTTCTTGTCTGGGCTCTTTTGATCGGCTGTTTTTGAGGGCTTTAGGTCACTTGAGTACGCGTCGATATCCTCCCGCAAGTGAACTATGGTAGGGCGTGATGAAGAAGGTGGTGTTAATGTTGTCAGGTCTACTAGGTCGACATGATGGCTTTCTACCGTAGTTGCTTCCAACGTTGAACACACTGAGACGAAATTAGATGAACCGAATTCTGGGGCATCGCGGTCTTCCTCAGTTAGATCGACTATACTGGTAAATACTCTCTCACCTAGCATCTTGGGGGGCTGCCTGGTTCGCATGGGTCTCGTGTTTTGACGTGTAAAAATTTCCGATAGTTTTTTCGAGGGTGGTGATTTCATAGGGGATGAGGCTTTCCTTTTAGCAGTACCGGACAATTTCTGTGACTTTTTAGTGTGGTCAGAAAGTATTTGTTTCGGTCCCATCTCCGCCATGGTAGGTTGATCTCCAGTAGATTTAGGGAACTTTACTCCGGGATTCTCTGAAGGTACCGGCATATCTTGGGTCGCTTCATTACTCTCCTCCCTAGTGTCTAAGAGGATCAGCTGTGGGGTCGCTTGAGAGTCTCTTTCGTTGTCACCGGAATCCAAGTTGATCAAAGGAATCTCATCTAACTCGACCTTCTGGTCGGCATGGTCTGATGTTTCTAACTTAGGATCTGATTGGTCGGGCATTGGTGGTTCGTCTCGTTTCGTGGTTTCGAGCAGTGTTTTCTCCTTGAGGTCTCTTAGTGTCATTAGGTCACTCGCATTATCATCTGACATATCTTCATGTGAGTCAATCGTCACTCCGGGTTCGTTTAAATAACTTTTAAGAAGTTCGGGTTTACCCGGCGGGCTTGGTTCTTGGTCAATCTCGAGGCCAATCGGTGTTCTCAGTCTCTTTCTCTGTTCTTCTTCCTCTCTGAGAAGAGTTTCCCTAGAACTGTTCATGGCCGCGTTTCGTCTCGCAATGTCGAGCTCTTCAAATTTCCACTGAAGGTTTCGTTTCTTCTGGGTTGTTTTTGAACTTTTGAATCCGACATTTCTTGGAGGTTTTGCTGTTTTCCTGAGTCCTTTGGTCGCGTAAAATCTGACTAATTGGTCTCGTTTTCTCGGACTTGGTTTCTTCTGAGTGCACTGTCTTTTAATGGCTAAATCAGATTTACGTATTATTTTCCCATTTTTTAGAGTCACGGTGTGATCTGATTCTCTTACAATTTCGTCCTTGAGTATTCTATAGTATGGTTCATTTTTCATTCTATCTTGGATTTTTCGATAAACAATGGTCTTACCCGACGGGTTGTTCAGAATCGAGTCCTTTATGCCCAAGGCATCTCTTTTTTCTGACCGGGAGAGGACTTTTACTGGGGATCCTGCACTTGTTGGTACATATCTCACTGCGTTTGAGATATCCTCCGAGGATGATGAATGATCATCGGCATCTCCATCTTCAATGTCGTCAGGAGCGTCCCAGTCATGTCTTCGCTCTCGGCTCATTAGTTTTTTGCCTTTATCTATACATAACAAAGTTTTATTCCAGTCAAGGTTATTCGAAGAAGGTGATTTAACCAAATTATGCCAGATAGTGTTTGGGGATCTACCGAAATGTGCTTCGAAAGGAGAGCAGTTAAGCGACTGTTGAGTTACTGTTCTTAAGCATTTTATTATTTTCAGGAGTGCAGATTCTAAAGAAGGTTTTGGGCGTTCTTGTGCCATCACCAGGAGTCGTTCCTTAATAGTCCTGATTAGACGTTCCACTAATCCGGTAGCTCTGTGATCACCCACTGGGCTAAATATCACCTTTATGTTGTGATCGTGGCAAAATTCTCTAACTTCCTTGGAGATAAAACCAGATCCTTGATCTGTTCTAATTGTCCTAGGTATCCCGTGTAAAGCGATATATCGACTAAGGAAGTTAATAATAGATTTAGCCGATGTACTAGATGTTATTTGGGCTGATGGGAATTTTGAAAATCTGTCTACACACACCAATATGTATTTTTTTGTTCCCCATACTAAAGGTAACGGGCCAGCGAAATCTAATTCCATTTCTTGGTTTGGTTCTTCGACCATTGGGAGTTTCCCTAGGGTATTGTGTTTTATAAGAGGCTTCAGATTTTTACCTGCTTTTACGCACTCTATACAGTTTTCACCGTGGACTTGGATTTCGCGGTAAATTTTCGGCCACCAGATGTATTGTGTTGCCAGGCTTTTCATTGCGAACTGGCCGGGGTGAGCTTCATGAAGTCTGTTCAGCATAGTTGATCTTAGGCATGCTGGGATTACTAAACGGTTGTCCAAATAGAGGCATCCTCCGCTGACATGTAGATTATTCAAATATGACTTATAATAGTTTCCGAGATGTAGGATATCCTGTTTTCTATCTTCCTCGATTGCCTTGATTATCTTTTTCAGAATTAGGTCTTGTTTCGATAAGAGGGACATAAATTTAGTGTCAAATATTTCCGGCCAAGAGAAAGGGAATAAGTTAACTGTTTTCTTCTTGCTAGGTGATCGATTCTCGGGTTTTTCCGACGGGTTACTAGTGTTTGGTGTTAAAACGTCCGTGTTTTCTTTAATAGTGTTTTCAGTTTGTTCTGCCATTTCTTTCAGGATTTTAAAATTCGTAGAAAAGTCGTTAATTTTGCAGGATGAGTCACACAGTTCTGTACGCGAGTGAGAATTTTGACACACTGAAATGTTTGAATGTTTAGATATCGCTTGGAAAATTTCAGCGGCATTAGCAATTCGTTTCTCACGTTCTATTTCTTGACTGGTCATATGATCTGTTGACTGGCCAATCGCATTACAAAAAGTGACGTCATCTGTTAAGAAATGTTGAGAGAATTTATTTCTTATTTGCGCCCACGAATTTTTTGGCATAAGGTGATCAAAGCCTAATAGTGTACTAATCTGGTTTACAGAAGCGATAACGAACTTCTCGTCATCCAGGGAAACTGGTACGGGTTCACCCGATGGGTGTCGGGATATATAGTCGACAAATCCCATATCTTTACCAGGTAAATGTTCTACAGTAAAGTCGAACGGTAATAGTTTATCCGCCCAACGGGTGAGACGTGATTGGGCCGTTTTAGTGTATTTATCGTCCTTCAGTGCTCCTATTAAGGCTTTGTGATCTGTTAAAATTGAGAATTGTTTACCCAGTAGATAATTTTTGAAATGATCTAGTGCCCAGACTAATCCCAGTAATTCGAGTTCGTTAGTGCTGTATTTCAGTTCGGCAATATTCAAAAATCTGCTAGCGAACGCTACTGTCTTCCAATTCCCCCAATGGTCTTGTTCGATTGACGCGCCCAATCCTAAATGTGAGGCGTCACATTTCACCCGAGTGTTCAGTTTTACATCGAAATGGTGATTTGTCACAGTATTACAAATTTCGTTCTTGATTTTTTCAAACGCTTCCGTATGTACAGTGGACCACTTAAATGGTTTATTCTTTTGCATGAGTTCTCTGAAGGGTGTTGATAAGGACGCTAAGTTTGGTATGAACTTATTAAATTGGTTAATCGATCCCATTAAGGATCTGATGTCCTTAATACAGTTTGGTTCTTTTAAATTTCTGATTGCGTCAGATTTGTGTATCAATGGTGTCGTCCCTTTTGCGTCAATTCTAAATCCCAACCATTCTATGTTATGAGTTAAAAATGTGCATTTTTCCCATTTTATGGCAAGTCCCTCGTCGTCTAGCGTTTTTAACACATTAGTGACTAGCTTTTTATGTTCTTCCTCGCTACCTACGGTGGCGATTAGGATGTCGTCAAGGTAACAATGAGTATTTGGTAGTTTTTCCGTCAAACGGTCCATTATACGTTGAAATTCATTAGGCATGTCGCCTAGTCCATAGAATCCGGTTTTAAAACGGTATGAACCCGTTACTTCTCCCCCCACAATATTAAAATTACACTGATTGCTTGCCTTTTTCGAAAGCGGAATTTGGCTGTAGGCGTATTTTAGATCTATCGATGAGAACCAGATGTTTCTTTGATCATGGCCGCTAATAGTGACTGCGACGTTGTCAATTAGTTCGAATAGATTTGGCATTTGATATCTATTACGAAATATTTGTTTATTTAGTAGTTTTGAGTTCAACGCTAGTTTTATTGATCCATCCCTTTTTGCTGTAATCACGATGGGAGAAATAAAACAATCTTCAGAGCATCTAGATAGTTTTTCAATGTGTCCGTCACTCAATAGTTGGTCGATGCATAGTTTGACTTTGGGGAGAAGATGGATTGGGATACGTTTCCCTTTCACCTGTATCGGTTTTATCGGCTCGTTAAAATAAGTATTAACTACGTAGTTTTTTGATCTACCAGTTCTTTTTATAAGGTCTGAAAAGTGCTTTGATATGTATGATTTAAACTCACGTTGGGATGGTGTCTCTTGATTTTGATCCTGTTGGATGTCGGATGCGAACTTTATCTGGTTGACATTTGTCCCGATGGGTGGTACTTTCTGATTTTCCCGTGACTTTGACCCGTTGGGTGGAGGTTGTTTTTGAAATACTACAATACCCAAATTCGGTAGGATGTCGTTTCCTAGTAGATTTCTTTCCGCCCCTTCTGTGATAAAGAGTTTTTGATCATTAGCCTCCCATCCTTTCGATTGGATTTTCACTCGAACTTTTCCAATAATATTGATCGTACTCCCGAAACCCTGGTATGCTTTCTTTGTTATCTCGTCCACCGGTTCTAGCTTTACGAATCTGTCTCGTATCTTCAGTTCATGTAGTAGGTCTTTCTTCATGAAGGAAACTGGGCTTGCAGAGTCAATTTGAATCTCGGTATAGTAGGGGTTGAATTTTCCCAGAGCTACTTTTAGTGTCTTTTTCAATTCTACTCCTTCGTGATTGAATACGGTTCTCACTCCGCGCTCTATTCTGTCTTCTACGGCATTTATTTGATTATTTGTGTCGATGGCTAGAACTAAGAAGTCGTCTAGGTTAACCTCAAATTCGGGGTTTTCCTGCGGGTTGGCCCGGACATTTTCGTTTTCTTGGGGTACCCGATTCTGATCGACGATGTTAGTTTGAGTTTTAGCTGAACTCCTGCAGTGTTTAGCAAAATGTCCTTTCCGTCCACACGTATTGCAGTTTCTATCTCTAGCCGGGCATGTGGATAGGTGTCCTTTTTTGAATTGCTGGCCGCAATTACGGCACTTGTTATTTTCGACTATGTTTAATGTTGGTTCGTTCTTCACATATTGTGATCTTGGTCCTGGGTTGTAAGTTGGGAATTTTAGGTACTGTTGATGGATTTTAGTACCTTTTTCGTGAACTAGTACATAAGATAGTACATTTTCTGGGGTCAAGTATTCAATGCATAGTTTCTTTTGGATCTCGACATTTCTCATGTTGGTTATGAAAATATCTCTTACTAGTTCTGACTCGAGTTCCCCCAGTTTACAATTTTTTGCTAGTTCTGAAAGAATTTCATGGAATTTTTCTAAGGACTCATGTTCTTTCTGTCTTCGGCCGAAGAATTTGAATCTTTCGTATGTTAGGTTTGTAGTGATCGTGAAGGTCGTTTTTAATAGTTCCCAAAATTCTGCGAAATTGATATCCAGTATTTTTTTCCCAGGGTTTTTATGAGAGAAGCATTTCTGTCCTTCTTTCCCGAGTGCTAGATATAGCTGTGATTTGAGCTTCTTGTCAATATCTCCTATTTGAAGTCCGTTGAATTTGGCGTTATCTTCCGCCCTTCTCCTTCTTACTTCTTCGTTGTAATTTTGTACTGCTACTCTATGACGTTCCTCTTGTTCGGCCCGACGGGTCTGATCCTCGGATGTGTCCAATGGTTCTGCCATAGGGTAAATTAGTTCATCTCTTATCGGTGGGTTAATTACATCTTCGATGTCTACGGAATCTTTCGCAATAATTGTCAGTTGGAATTTTTCCGCCCACCTTTCCCAGTCATGTTGATTTTCATTCGATGAGTTATTCCAGAAAAACTCTAATCCGCGTAGGTTTGATTCATTCGACTGCGCCATGTTAAAATATTAGGATACCACTCGTGTTGTAAAAGAGTGACTTAAACTAGGAATAGATTAAGACTGTGGATGTTTAAGATTCCTACTAAAATAGTAGGCTTTTATTTAAAACTAAATAAAAGACGGAGATTCTAACTAAGATAAAATACGTGTTAAAAGATTGAATTGGTTACGTTTGTTTTGTTACGTATCATAAAAGATAGTGTCCAATTCAGAGTCTACCAAAAGCCGATGCGCTTTTGGCAGGTATATAAATTAACAACTAAAGGTCGGCGGTAAGTTAAGATCAGAGGTTAAATAGACAAACCATAATACTTTTACAGGTTACGCAACCATATTGATGTTAACACAATAACCATTGATCTAGTGGGGTAAGGTACATGAGCTAACTCATCTATCTGCGCATGTATCTTCCTAAATAACATGCTGAATCTATTTAACCTAAAATTGGCGATGCTTGCCTTATGAAAATATTTCCAGTTGGCTTTTGTTTCTAGTTGTCATGATGACTTGTTTCTAGTTGTCATTGTAATGACTTTTACAACAGATATATCTGGCCGCAAAAATTTTGACTGATATTTTGAGGTCTCAACAAAACGTATAGAATCTGTGTTCAGAATAGATTCTAATTTGATTAAAAGTGGCTGTTGCTTGCGGGTTGTGCAGCGTTTGATTGCAAAAAAAAATAACCAAAAATATGCGCGAAAATAACCAAAAATAAAGTTTTTAATATTGGAAAAAGTTGTGGATCTCAGTAGAGAGCCACATAGCCCATATTTCGGTGCTAGTATGATAGTTTGGTCCTCAAAAAATTAGAGCAATTTATCTTCGAGGGAAAGGCCTAACATATGAGCTGCACAGCTCTTCACGGATCGCTGCTATGCCGTGCTCAAAAGAACTGTACGCATCTTTTTGGTTATTTTTCTGGGGTAGGTATAATTCCCTCTCCATCGAGCAAAGGGAACGGATCATGATGGGCCTCGAACTACCGAACTTTGACCTAGAGGCGGACAGAGGTAGCCACTTCACCACCGCTCTCCGAAAAGCGATGAGAAATTGGCCTAATTATTCTTGTCTGAGTTATACTTTCTCTTAGGTACCAAGATGCTGCCGCAAGTAGTGAGACTACTGAGAAGCTGGAGACTCTTCTGGGTCATTGGTGTAAGCAGATAGAGACTGTTCTGGCAGAGAGCGAGCAGATCAGACGGGAGGCAGACGACGTCGGACCGTCGGCCGAGTTGGAACACTGGAAGAAACGAATGGCCACCTTCAACAGGTTGGTATAATCTAGTGTTTCAATGCAATATGGACCAAGTTTTTTTCAAAAAACTGAATGGCACTATAAATTACGAAAAAAATGCACATTTGCAGGCTCTTTTCCAGTTTCTCCCCTTTCAGAATACCGAGTTTTATGTTCGTTTTACGTGTTATTACGGCTAAACGCATGATGTTACGCTGTAAAGTATGAAGAACAAATCTGTTCAGAATTGTCGATTTGTTCACCACGCCAAATTTCATTGCATTATGACAACGTTAAATAGACTTTTCGAAATTGAATTTGAAAGAGAGGGGGAACTGGAAAAGAGCCCATTTGCATTTAAGTTCCCAATATTGCAATTATGAAAAAAAGTTGCAGGTTTATAATTTTTTTTTTTTCAAAAATTTTTTCTTTCTCGAATCCCAATTAAAAAGAAACCACTCGGTTGAAAGGCTTTTTCTCGAACTTAATTAAACTAAACGGTTAAATTTTGAGTCGAGTGTATTTTACACATTAGGGAGCCTTGTGGTTTCGTGGAACTCATCTATTACAATTGTACCAAACTATGATCCGAATTGTTGTTGTATACCGCCTTGGAGAACAAGTGATTGTTATTATTCTGTTTCAGTCTTCTTGACCAGATCAAGTTGACCAGATGCAAGTCGGTGGTAGCTGCACTGCAGTATGCCAAGTCACGGGCAGTGAAGAGATGGAGGGAGCTAGACATGCGGATCACAGATGCAGCCAACGAGGCCAAGGACAACGTCAAGTACCTCTACACCCTCGACAAGTTCTTCGGACCCCTCGGAACATGCGATCCAGTAAGTGTTTTATCTATTTCTTCTTTTTATCTGTCGTTATTCTGCGGTCCAATTGTATTTATTCTGCGGTTACGCATTAGGCCAATTTCAAATCTGCATTCAAAAATTTGGTGTTTGCCAAGGAAAAAGCATTGACTCCCAAGCCATTGAATTCTTCTTATGCATGACTTTACAATGTCAGAAATTCGTTTGAAAATGCATCGGACGGGAATCGAACCCGGGTCTATCGCGTGGCAGTCGACAATTCTACCACTGAACCACCGATGCTTAGATATTATCTGATCTTAATTAATTCAATATTTCTCTTTTTTGGTGGTCAACGAATAAGTCCTTAACGACCAAGTTGACTAATTTTTCTTTTATCGTTGGTCAATTAAGAAGAGTTAGGCTCTTTTCCAGTTCTCCCTTCGATTTTTTGAAATTCAATTTACAGAAGCCTTTTTGAAAATGACTTTCGAGATTCTTAACTGCAATAAAACGTGTCAAGGCTCTTTTTCCTCTCCCCCCACCTGCAAATTTCTATAATTGAAGTTACTGTTCACTTTTTCCGATTGTCATGATAAAGGACATGCAGACTAAATAAGCCATGACAAACATATTTGGTCTTCATAATTAACCTTGTAAAACCACTTGTTACACCATAAAATTCATGTTTGAGTGAGGTGGGGGGAAAGGAAAAAGAGCCACCCGTGTCAATTAATATTGGCCGAATATTAAAAGGCAGAAATATGCAAAATTTTCAAATTCTCACCGAGCGCCGGCAAGGGTTTCATTATACAAGAAGCTAATTTTTGCTTCATTCAATTCCTTTTAGTTGAACGGCAATGGATTCATTTTAATAAATGACTTTCGACTTTATTTGTGTTCGGTCCTTCGCGCATGAGCCCTTCGCCCATGAGAATTGCTCCCATCCCAAATTACTGACAAGTATCTTAAATCAAATGGACGGAAGTTGAAAAGACGAAAATGGCCATTTTAATTGATGCCGCTTGTTAAACAAACAAGTTTCCCAAGCGTGGCGGCACAAACTTTTCTGAATAAACAGTGAACTCAGCAAATTGTCAATTTTTTTCTCTGTTTAGCTCCGAAACAAAAACAGTTTTCAGGCAACATTGTTAACAGATCACAAACAAAACTTGAAATTTTCTAATATCATTAGTTTTTGGCACTGTTGAGCAACATTTCAGTTTCGGTACTGTTGAACGTCACCCATTAAAAATACTAGATTCGGCCGATTCTTTTTGCCATCTAAACATTTTTATGTGAACATTGTAGAAAAAACACGGTGAACATTGTGCAATTAATTGTCTTTGTGCGCTGTTTAGAAGAGCATGGTTGAGATCCTGCCTAGTTTGCTGACAGCAGTGAAGATGATCCACAGCATCAGCCAGTACTACAACACGAGTGAGAGGATGACGTCACTGTTCGTGAAAGTGACCAATCAGATGATCACCACCTGCAAGGCCTACATCAAGGAGGGCGTGTCCAACATACGCGAAATGGACAGGTACTTTTTGTGCTTTTTTGTCTGTTTTTTTGTACGTTGTCAACTCGAGGGTAGGTATTTTAAAGCTAAATTTGCCTGTAATTTGGAGTGGAATTATTTGAGTTGCCTTAATTAATTGAGAGGTTAATTGAGCTCCTACCAAAAGCTGACCTACTACACAAAGCTACAAATGCCATAGCCTCGTTTGTTTTCCCCATGTTGTCCGAACTGGTATATGAGAGCAGTGTAATTGATGAGAAGCTAAGCACCGAGTGAAGCTAATGCAAACCGTTGACTCAGATACACGTCAACTTCTACCTACAAGTCTATGGCTTACCGAGCGACTATCAACAGCAACGTAAACGAAGTGATTCAGTCGGTGCTGTTGGGTCGAATAGATCCCAAATGTTATAATCAGGGGCGGATCTAGGATTTTCTCGAGGGGGGGGGGCGTATTTTCAAAAAAAATTTGAAATTTGACCTTTTTTTAGGTCGACCAAATTGATTTTTTGAGCTCTCCCAGAGCACTGTTTTGCCCATTTTGGCAAAATGTTCTGGGCCGGAGGCAAATTTTTGAAAAAACAGTCAAAACAGGCATTTTTAGGCACTTTTTGGAAAGTTTTGATAAAAAAAATGCGTTTTTTCGGCGCGCGCTCCCCCCTCAAAATTAGTAAGTATTGGCGCCGAATGCGCCTTTGGAAAAATTTTAGGGTCGGTCGACCAAAAGTGGATTTCTTAAAAAGTACCAAAGGGGGACCCTTTGGGTCGGCAGGGGGTCGAATCCCTGAGAAGGCGTCCGCCTAAACCCCCCCCCCCCCTAAATCCGCCCCTGGTTATAATATATATTTTTTATAGCTCAGCAAGCTGCACATTTTTCGATGAAGAACTGAAGGACGCTAGCTCCAAACATTAATACCTTTTGATATTATGTTCTTTTCTCTCTTACCGGACCTGTTAATTGGCAACTTGATTTTTAATTATCTTCGACCAAAGCTCTTATTATTAATTTTCATTTTTAGAGATGACCCAAACTACAACTTGTACGAGACGTAGTAAGTGACAGCGATGCAGATCATCCGAGATCATGATTTTAATGTCTTAGAGATTTCTAAAATTTTATCATTCCTTACATTCGTATATACAAAAACACTTTGGAAAAATGCTTCTATTCTTGGCCTTATATGTTGTTTTGTTACAGCTCTGAGCCAAGGTAGTTTAACTTCAGAATAATTTCAAACTTCACAAAAATCATCAATTTCGATAAATATCATGATAGTTTGGCACGTAATCGTTTATATTAAGGGAAAGTTTATGCTAACATATCATTCGCTTAAATGACGCAGGGAGCTGCTGCTGGAGAGAATAGCAGACTGCCTGTTGCTGAGAGATGAGTACAAGAATGAGTTCAGACGGGTGAAGGAGAATGCAGAAGAAAAGGAGGAGAAAAACTTCGACTTCAGGTACCTCTAAGCATTCAATTCTTGAATAAATAGACAGTGTTCTTCAATAGCGCCTCAGAATATTGGATCAACTTTGTTAATTTGCAAACGAGAGAAAAAAATTTGCCAAAATACAAAATTAGTTTCTTAACTAATTGGCGTGGAGTACTAAGGCATTTAAAGCCGGATATTCCACATCTTGTTCAATTATTTAATGCAAATTGATGAGTATATTATGGTTTATTAGTGTTTATTTCCAATTGTAGTGAGAACTACATCTTCGGCAAATTCGACGCCTTCTGCAGACGTCTGGAGAAGATCAAGAACATGATGGAGACCATCGACAACCTCTCAGGACTCACGGACGTCCGAGTGGAAGGTTAGCTAAGGGTCTCATTGGTTTTTTTGTCTACCTCTATAAGCGATTTTGAAATTGTCTCACGAAATGAGCCATTTTATGTAACGGTTTTTGAAGCGATTTTTTTTTTAGTTTCAAAACATCCATCTGACACTGCTGGGGAAGTATAGACTTCCTTTTACAGTTAAAATTTCACTAGTTATCTGCATACGAGTTATTTGAGCTGCAAGAAAACAATACGGAAAATGAGAAGAAAATAAATTTGAATTATTCTGATATGATTTGCAAGGTAGTCAAAAGACTAGTAAGGACTAATCTGGTGATGCTTCATTGGAAAATGGAAATCAATGTGCGGTACAAGAATGAAAGCTACTAGGTATCTAAAATATGGGCATTTCCTTGAATTAAATATTATCATGGGCCTTGATATTTTGAAAAAGCATTTATTTTGTGGCATTTCTGAACTTTTCACAAAGTTGATTGTTCCTGTCGTACTTGAATTTCTAGGGACCGAACATCATATTAGTGCCAAATAAGCATTAAATGTCTCATGTTATCAAGGTATCGACGTGCTGGCTATCAAGTTCCAGAACATCGTGATGGCGACAAAGAAGAAGAGCTATGATTTGTTGGACCACAGGAAGAACGACTTTGACAACGACTACGATGATTTCAAGACTCAGATCGACGCTCTCATGGGACAGTTGCAGACGTTCGTAGACCAGCAGTTCGAAAAGAGCGCTTCGGTTAGTGACCCAACCAGAAATATTTGTGTGGATCTATTGGGAAAAATAATGGTTCAAAAACTAAAAGAATGGTTTCGAATCCCTAAGAATAACCGCGGGTTCAGCCTATTATCGCATCTAACTCTGTCACAGTCACCATTTATTATGTTAATAAACATGTTGCTAGCATTAAACTGATGTCAAGATGTTTTATGTACTAAGGCCAATGTTACGCTCAAACTAATTGTTCCGACCACCTCCGAAGTTAGGAAGGCAGTATGGCGTAGAGGTTGTCTTTTTTGGTCAAAAAAATTCGATCAATCTCTTATTTCCGCTTTATCAAGGCGCATTTTTGCTGCCTGAGATCTCAGAGTAAGTAGGCGTGAAAATAGCAGATTGCAAGAAGCAAAGGCTGAGTGGCTTGGGTGCCGGTCATCAAGCCGACGGGACTTCAAGCCGAATCTTAAAATTAGGGACTTCAAGCCAAATGTTTTGTCAAAAAGTCATAAAAAGTGTTTAATTTGAAAAGTTTTTTGAAGAGATCTCAAGTTCATGAGCTTTGTATACAAGTTATCGGCTTCTTCATAATTTTTGAGCCTCTGATTGCTGTTAAGGATTATTAAAAATTAAAACATTGTTGATGGGATTTTTCATGTGTATAATTTATGCATTTCGAAATCCGGCTGATTTAATTATCTGATGCCGCTCTTAGGTGGTGCATTGTTATGAAGAACGTTTCAACTAAACTTACCTAATTTTTTCAAAATAAAAAGTTTATTGATAAAAATTAAGCGTTTTGAGGTACTTGTAATGTTTATATTTTATCTGCAAGTCTCGTCGGCTTGTAGTCCTAGACGCAAGTGGCTTAGGCCAGTAAATTGAGTTCGGGAGGTTCAAGCTTGCATCAAGCAGTCTCCAAAGTTTGTGTATTTTATAGATAATGTTGCTCGTCCGTGGCACATACATTAATTTTTTTTAAATTTTATGGCTCTTTTCCATTTCCCCACACATTTAAACTTTAACTTTTGAAAACTTAACTACTGCTTTTATATCAGGGCAACGCCTTGGTTTTTCCGACTGCCGCTTAGCAGTTCTCGAATAGTTTTTGTTCAAAATTTTTTTGATAGACTATATTTTGTAATATAAATGCAATAGCTAGCATTTGAGTAGAATTAAATTGACCAATTAAGGTTGGCCTCAATTCGATTGAGAACGATTATGAGTGTGGATATTTAGTCACGCATAATGTTTTTTGCGTTTTGAAATTATCAAACTATCATTCAAGCAGCAAAGTCAGCCTCATTTTTGTCTCGTGCAAGCATACTCGCTGGGCAATCCAAAAATTTTTGGATCGATACCCAATAAATGCGCTTTATTAAAGCGCCTTTTTGCTGCCTGAGATCTCAGATTAAGTAAATCGCTGCCAGCTGTTTAGAAATCGGTCTGAATAAAAAAAACTACCCCAGGCATACATGTTCCTCTTTTTCTTTGAAAGTAGGATAAAAAACCTTGTCATAATTTAATGAAGGTTTGCATGGTGATTTAGTTATATATTCTGAAAACAAATGTTCTTATTTCTACAGAAAAAATTACGCAGGAGATCGGAAAAAAATTCCAAAAAAGATTCGACTTCTAGTTCAACAAAGGTTTTTTAAACTACATTTACGCTGTTATTGCCTAATTTGACGCTAAGTTCAGCTTATAATTACTAAGATAGATAACGCCTAAAATTTGGAAGAAAACATGAAATAATTTTTTGAAAATTACCGTGGTCGGAACATTATTAATTACTGTGGTCGGAACATTCTGTAATACTTGCCCAGCCACCGGCTAACATTGTTTTTTACGCATTACTGTTTAATTTTCTATTGCAAATTTATTCTTTTGCACACTTAATACTGTTTTGCACCTTATTAACCTGTAATGTTGCACAATAATAACTTTTCGTTTCAGCTCAGTATGGTGATTCGTATTTAAAATTACTTTGTAATTGCTACTTGCCGTTAATTGCTCATTGAACATTTTTCTTTACCCAATTATTTCAAAACTTTTTTTATGTTTCTTGCACTTCATTTCTAGCATATTAACTGAATTGTCTAACGTAACTATTACAAAGATATTTGATCAGGTTTTGCGAGACAATTCTGCTATGAATGTTGGGGCTGTAAGTCTATCGATTGAATGCGTCGCTTCATTTCGCTTCATCGCAGATATCAAGTGTTCTGAAGGCATTTATGATGTTTCCAAGTCTCATTGAGTCAGTCATCTTTTAGATGTAGTTTGTTTAAAATCGAGCTGCTTTTAAATTGGGATGTTTTGATTGATTTTAGTTCAAACAATTAAATAGTAAACAAACTACGCACACAAAAGTTAGTTGTCGTTTTTTGTAGCTGAAATTTTATTTGATCCAGCCTTTTTTTGATGTATCAAAGTGGTTTGAGTTATTGTTTTTTATGTTTTATGCGGATAAACCAATTTGAATCATCGTTTTTAAAAAAAATTATAATATTTCAAAAATTTTAAGGCAGCTCGATGTCAATAACATTTATGCATCACTTAAGATCATGACATGATCGAAGTAATTTCTCATTTTAAGTCATTCAGTTTTTTGGGCTGAACATTTGAGATTTCAGACTGCCCGTTCTCTGAACCTGCTCGAGAAGTTCGAGAGAATCACCCTCCCAGCAGATGTGAAACTGGACCTGCACGATAAGTATCAACTGGTCTTCTTCAAGTATGGAAAGGACGTTGACCTCTGTCGCAAGACTTACATGAAACAGAAGGTGGACCCTCCCATGCCCAGGAACTACCCTCCGGTAAGTTGGTGAAAATATAGAAACACATTTTTTTCCTAGTTTCAGAATAATAAGTATCAAAAAGAACGTAAAAGACAGCCGACTATGCTTGTAAATTTAATTAGCTATTTGAAAAATACGTGCTTTTTGTGCTTTTAGAAAGAAAGAAAAAATCGAAATTATTTGCCCTTTCCCTACTGGTCAATTTTTTTCCGAGTTGAAGTAAAATTTGGTTGATAACATATTCTACATTAAAAAAATGAATTGAATTGTTTTGCAGATCTCCGGCAAAATCTACTGGTCGCGTCAACTGCTGCGCAAAATTGACGAGCCAATGCAGATTTTCAAAACGAAACAAGAGCTTCTGAAGTCAAACGAAGCGAAGAAAATAGTGAAAAACTACAACCGAATGGTGTCTGCTCTTCTCGAATTCGAACTGATGTATCATCGCACATGGTTCAAAGCAGTTGAAATAGCGAGATCAGGAATGAACTCTTCGCTTTTGATTCGACACCCTGAGACGAATAAGTTCGTGCTGAACTTCGACAACCAGATCTACGAGTTGATAGACGAAGCTAAAAACTTTATTAAACTGGAATTGGAGATACCAGAAGCGGCAAGAAACATGATGAACAATGAAGAGGTATCAAAATTTGAGCTCAATCAGCTCAGCTTTGAAAAATTTTGTTGTTCCTCGTATACCAAATTTGAGACTCTGTTCAGATTTTATGGCTTTGCCCCCTTCTTTTAAATGGTGGTGTGCTCATTTTGTCTAGGCATCAGTTTTGATTAATATGAGTTGCACTTTTGTCAAACAGTCACTTTTTAGGGATATCTCAACTATTCTAACAACTTTTGTTTTCTCAGGTGATCAAAGGTATCAACAGGAACGTGTCGTCGGCAGTGAAGAGGTACTACAAGGTGGTCAAGTCTATTCCTCAGCTGCTGGTGCCTCTGATGAAGCCCTTCTGTGACAAAGTGGAGGCTGTGATGGAACGAGGAGTGGTCAAACTATCCTGGAACTCTGCCAGTCTCGGAACTTGTAAGCGGAAATATCTCCTTGAAATGGAAACCAGCGGTTTCACGCCTGATTATACCATCTTCAATTAATTACATTTCTGACAAAATGAGTTTTAGTCATTTTCTTATTGGTAGGCGTTAAAAAAATTAGTTTTTAGCTAATGTTAAGCGATTATAAAAATATTGAAATATGCGGTTAAGAAGCTATAAATGTAAATGATTTGTAATGGCGTTCCTCGAAAAATATAAACAGTCTCATTTTTAGATAACGTTAGCATTTATCTCACGTATACTCAAAATTTGATGAAGTAATTTTACCTTCTTTTTGCCTGCAGACATTGAAGACTGTGAGCATGAGATCAACGAACTGGAAGTCCTGACCAAACACGTCTCGGATATCCTCGAGTGCCGAATTGAAGCCACTCTTCACGAGATGGAACGAACTGCCCTCTGCGAAGTGCCCGAGCACGACACTATGACCCCCAAAGACTTCCTTGATCTAACTGAGCTGACATGCGGGAAGGCCTTCGAGTCTCTTAAAAACCAGAGTCTGAAAGTGGAGGCTTCGGTTGACGAACTGATTGAAACTCTGAAGTCTCAACTGTGGGATGATTCCCTGAAAGTGGGATTGGATCAGGAGCATTACCCGTGCTCGAACCCAGAAGGAAAGCACAAGACTAGATGTCAGGAGTGTCTTTCTTGCTCGTTCTACAACACGCTGAACACTTTCTCCCAGAGAAACACCGAGTCACTGATTAAGTGTAAGTGGTGCATGGGTCGATAGGGTCATTAAGATTATCAGCTTTAAATAAAAAACATCTTTAAAAAAATCAACAACTTGAAGACGGTTTTCTTGCAAAATTTATGCTTTCGAAAGCGCGGTATGATTGATAAAAATTGTATTCAATGGATATAACTGCATCAATTTAATAGATCGTGTACTTTAAAAAACAATCAGATTAATGGCGTTTTTCTAGAAATTGTTGTCTTTAAATTGCCGAGAGTCATTATTCCGACTAGCTGATTAGTTCTTGGGAGTCTTGTGCAAGCGTTTGGTTCAGTTATTGCTGGCTTAATTGTTTAATTCCAAATACAGGCACCAAGTTGTCCCTGGACATGATCCGAAGACGTCTGCAAGTGTCCAGTGTTTACGGCAAGAACAAGGACTCGGACGAGTCCAAAGTGCCTCTCTTCAAGACTGACATCGTCCTGGCCATCCCTCTTATCCAGATCAAACCCAGTCTGGAGAACATCCAGAAGTATCTGACGGACTCCGTGCAGGTGATCTTGAAGATGACAACTGAGTTCCCGACTTGGAGACACTCTAAAGTCCAGCAGCAACAGCAACAGAAGGTAAAAACAATTTGTTTGTTTGTTTTTTCAGACGAGAGACCTTGATGAAATGATCTTTGTTATTTGACCAATAGAAAAGCTAATTATAAATCAAAGCAAAATATACTTCAATAAAATATACATTTTCAAAAAAATTTGCACGAGGATATATAACAAGCACATTCTTAAGAAACTATTTTCCTACTTGCTCTTGCATATGTCCTTGCATCATGCTTACTGCTTAGGCTCGCGTGCGGTGATAGTACAGTGAATAGATAAACATCATTTCTATCGATCGATCATCAAGGCCTCTTGGTCATTTTCACCATGCATTCTGATCATTAACTTTTGAGTTAAATATTCATGTTGATTTACTATGCAGGAAGCGCTAGTAGAGCGGCAAGGAGCTACTAGCGTCAACAAGGCAAGATTCACGCTTCGTACTTGACTTAAATCATGACCTTGTCGCTAGCTTAGACCAAATTCGCAGTTGTAAATGCATTCGACGAATCGTCAAACACAATTAACATATCTTCACTTTGTGTCAGTCTCATCTATAACAAACTGAAAAAATTCAAATATTCATAAAGTTTCGAGTTTCCATGAAATTATCATTAGAGGTGAACATTTTTGGAAAATTTTTTTGAAAGAATAATCTTCGCTAGTTGCCTTGTAGAAAAGAAATGAAATTTTGATTTCAATGTTTTAATTTTTTTAAGGAATGGGAGATGCAACAAGATCAGAACAAAGACGACAAAGTTGTGCAACAATTCACAGTGAAGCCGCTGCACAAAATCATTTCCGATCACAAAGACGTGATCAAGGTTGTGATTCCCCTCCAATCTGTCATTTCCTCCAACAAAGTGGAGGTGGACGAACAACTCAAGGAGTTCGACAGATTCTCCGAGCTGTGGAAGGAAGATCCTGCTGACAAGGTCAAGGAGTTCCAGGAAAGCGAACCATTGATGTCGGACTACGGCATCCAGATCAGGAAATACCAGAACTTGGAGAACGATATAAATGCATTACAACCTGCGTACCAAGTGGGCTCTCTGCTTCTCATCACCGAACCATTGCAGATGTCTCTGATCCAGGAAACGCGAAACTGGAAGTGGGCTTACGGAAAAGCACTTAATGAGGTTGGATCCACGAAGATGCAAGAGATCTTTGATTTCATCGAGGTTCTCAACAAGAAAATGTCGAGGCCTATCAAAGATCTCGACGATATTCGAACTGCTATGGCCGCTCTGATGGAGATGCGAGAGCGATTCATATCAATTGAGATGACAATTGCGCCTATTGAAGAAGCTTATCATATTTTGAACAGGTTTGAACTTGTCTTCAATGACGGAAACGCAGAGCGAGTGGACAGCTTGACGTACGCCTGGAAGAAGCTGATCACTCAAGCTAAAGAGAACCAAGACAACCTTCTTGAGGTGCAGCCAGGCTTCAAAGGCGGGCTCTTGGACGGAATCAGTCAGTTCAAAAATGACCTTGGAAGCTTTGATGATGAATATGGTAGTAAGGGTCCGATGGAGGAAGGAATTAAACCGAGAGAGGCGTCGGACCGACTTGTCGTGTTCCAGGCGAAGTTCGACGAACTGTGGCGGAAGTACCAGTCATATTCTGGTGGCGAGGAACTGTTCGGATTGAGTGTGACAGACTACCCTAATCTACAGAAAACGAAGAAGGAATTGAACCTTCTGCAGAAACTGTACTCGCTGTACAATGACGTCATTGACACTGTGAATGGCTACTATGACATCCCGTGGACCGATGTGGACATCGAGAAGATCAACCAGGAACTGACTGACTTCCAAAATAAGTAAGTGATTCCAACTTTTGAAGGATGAGTTGCATGGTTTTGATGAGCTCGACATGACCTCGGCAAGACACTTCTAACCTTGATCTATGGAATTTTACGTGAAAAAAATTGTCACAGATGTCTTATATATATTTAGCATATGGAAAATTTTTAATGCCCCAATGGGAAAAGTACTGATTAGAGATGTGAAATAATCAAAAATTTTATTAGATAGCTTCACTTTTATTTTACCCGTTTAGATAACAACAGTGCTACGCCAAAATTAGTTGTGTAATGATATCATTGCTTGCTGACGAGTAGATTTAAATGAACTTCTTCGCAGGTGTCGAAAACTGCCGAAAGCGTTGAAAGACTGGCAAGCATTTGAGGAGTTAAAGAAAACGATTGACGACTTCAACGAGACTTGTCCTCTGCTGGAGATGATGGCCAACAAGTCCATGAAAACGAGGCATTGGGACAGAATCGCCACTCTCACTGGCCATACATTCGAGATAGAGAGCGAGAACTTCCTGCTGAAAAACATCATGGAGGCCCCTCTCCTACAGTACAAAGAAGACATCGAGGTCGGATACCTTTGTAATCTTAGATCCATTCGGATAGAATATTATAGTTGATTTGAAAAGTTGTTTAGAAGGATGTAAGGTTAGTTGGGAAATCTAAAACGCAATTTTTTTTTGAAGAAAAGTTATCCGGCTTCAATATACAGACGTTGATATCGTAAATGTGATGATTTTTTGTCCAAACATTCCAGGCCCAGTTTTTGCTTGAGAAGATTCAACGTCAAGGTAGCGAGTCAAACTCTACTTGATCCCAAGGTCGGTGCCAAAACAAAAGTTTCCACAATAGAAACCAAGTTAATTGCCAGGAATTGATAATAATGCTGCTGCATAAAAAATGGAGACGAAAACATATTGTCATCAGGAGCTGTTCGGGAGCTAACATCTTATTGAGTATCTTTATCTCTGTCTTTTCTCTTTAGGACATCTGCATAGCGGCTGTGAAAGAGAAGGACATCGAGGCTAAACTGAAGCAGGTGGTGAGTGATTGGAGTGTGCAGAGCTTCTCCTTCTCCAACTTCAAGACCAGAGGAGAACTGCTTCTCAAGGGACAGGAGACGAGTGAGATAGTGGCACTCATGGAAGACTCACTCATGATACTCGGATCTCTCATGAGCAACAGGTCAGTGTTCACTTCAGTTGTACTCTATGTTCTCTATTGATAGTGTACATTTCGAGCGATTGAAATTTGAGGCTTTTTTGATCAGCAAATCTTAGAGCCAGAATAATTCTCATTGCGAAAACTATTTGTTGAGTTTGAGGAACACTAGAAAGCATAGCAAAACTTTTATCTAAGATATTTGTGTTGTTTTCAGATACAACGCACCATTCAAAGCTGACATTCAGAAATGGGTGCAGAAGTTATCTACTACCACCGAGATCATTGAGAATTGGATGACAGTGCAGAACTTGTGGGTATACTTGGAGGCTGTATTCGTGGGCGGAGACATCGCCAAGCAACTTCCCCAGGAGGCCAAGCGGTTCTCAAACATTGACAAATCCTGGGTTAAAATCATGACTCATGCTCACGAGAACCCTAATGTGGTCACATGTTGTGTCGGAGATGACATGCTTGGTCAGCTTCTTCCCCATCTTCTGGAACAACTCGAATTGTGTCAGAAGTCTTTGACAGGATACCTGGAAAAGAAACGTCTGATCTTCCCCCGATTCTTCTTCGTCTCGGATCCGAGTCTGCTCGAGATCCTCGGACAGGCAAGTGACTCGCACACTATCCAAGCGCACTTGCTGAACATTTTCGATAACTTGGCGACTGTGACATTCCATGACAAAGAGTATGACAAAATGGTGGCGTTCAACTCATCCGAAGGCGAGAGCATCGATTTCGAAAGGCCTGTTATGGCTCAAGGAAACGTCGAGATCTGGCTTGGAACTGTCTTGACTGAGCAGCAAAAGTCGCTTCATAGTGTGATTCGAAGAGCGAATGTGGCGTTGGGAGATACTGGATTTAAGATGATTGAGTTCCAGAACCAGTTTGCAGCCCAAGTGGGTCTTCTGGCTTTGCAGATCATCTGGACTAGAGACTCGGAAGTCGCGTTGCAAAATGCAAAAACGGATCGAAAAGTGAGATAATATTCCAATTTTACTGGTGGTGAGAAGTGGTGTTTTTGTTTCGTTTTTTGAAGCTCAAATATATTCTCTGTTTTGGTATTTCCTGTTAAGTTTTTGAATTATAACTTTCATGTATCAGTTTGAAATAAACAAATATTTCAATTTGAATCGATTGTGCGATAGTTTCGCGTGATGGTTTTGTAATGAAGTTACAGATGAATTGAAACATACTTTTTGCTGTTAGATCATGGCTAACACTAACCAGATGTTCTTGGAAATCTTGAACGAGTTGATCGACCAGACTACTCATGAGTTGACTAAGATGGAGAGGACGAAGTTTGAGACCCTCATTACCATTCATGTGCATCAGAAGGACATCTTTGACGACCTTGTCAGACTCAACATCAAGTCACCAGGTGGGTTAAGGTTTATTTTAAGACCATTTATCCATGGGGGAAAGGACCAACACAAGAGCTGTACAGCTCATCACGGCGAACCGCTGTTGTGCCCCTGTTTAAGAACTACATGCAATTTTTTTGGTTATTTTTCTGGGCTGGGTACTGTTGCTTCACCCTCAAGCAACGAGCACGGATCATGGTGGGCCTCGAACATCCGACCTTTCGATTGAGAGGCGGAGACGTAACCACTTCACCACCGCTCCCCTAAAGGTTCATTTTGAAGTTTTAATGTAGGGATATGCCAACGCCCATTCTTATGGTTTGTCTGAACTATGGCCTCGCAATGAGATTCATATTCTATTATGTTTTCATGCGAAACTACCCCCTCCAGCCACTTTTCAAAAAGCTGTCATTCATCCTGGCCCCTGTTTTTTTCTGTTAGACCATATTAGTCATTATTATTTTTTAAAACGGGAATGGCTTTATTTCATTTAATATCAAACTTTTACGCTGCCTTTAGGTGACTTTGAGTGGCTGAAACAGAGTAGGTTCTACTTCAAGGAGGAGACGGACGAGTGTCTAGTATCCATCACAGACGTCAACTTCAACTACATGAATGAGTACCTCGGCTGCACAGACAGACTCGTAATCACCCCACTCACTGACAGGTGCGAGAGAAAAGATCGAAATGTTGATTGAGCTGTGAATAAAATTAAACGGACTTTGACCATTTCTAGGTCGACCAAATTGAGTTTCAGAGCTGTCAAAACACATGAAAGACTATTTAACTTTAAAAAAATGGGCGCATCTAAACATTCTCTACCCCCTCCCCCTTCCAACATCGAACAATTGAATTTTCTCCTCCGCAACCAACTAAAATACGAATTTAACACTTTAATGATAACTAGCCATTACTGACTGAATTTTTAATACTCTTCGCAAGGTATTGTCCTGAGCTCAAAAATATAAAGATATTTCACCTGTGGTCATTTTTCGTTAAGTTACGGGGGTTTATAGATCGCGATTGGGGACAGTTAAAGTGCGACAAGTTTCGTGCTGTTAACACGTGAGCGGCAATACAGTACTGACTTAAACTAACCGGACACAATGAACAAACAGTTGAAAATTCAAACTCGTTTTTTCTCAAATTGGGCCGAGATTAGACAACAAACAAAAAGAAAACAAAAAATGCTTAGAATTTCACCAGAATTAATATGATGCCTTTTTTTCCTCGAAACTGTTAACTAAACATTACCCCAAAAGTGGGTCATTTTTACTTTTTAATTAATCAAGAAAATAGCTGAAACTACCAAGTTAATTGATGAGAAAGTTATATCAAAAAAAGCCTCTTATACAGCTCAACATAGTTATAGGTAAAACTTCCAAAAATTTAAATATAACTTTTGAAACTTGTTTTCAAGTTAAGATTTTGATTTTTATATAATAAAAATGACTTTTTTCGGCTATCAACCAAAAGTATACTCTTTTGGAAGCTTTACCCTTTTAGACTTTGAGGCTTCTTTTGATATAACTTTCTCATCAATTAACCTGGTAGTTTCAGCGTTATTATTGATAATTTAAAAAAGCCAAAATTGCCCCACTTTTGGGGTAAAATTTTGGTTGAAAATTTCGAGAAAAAAAAATGCATTATATTAATTCTGGTGAAGATCAAAGCAACTTTTGTGTTCTTCTATTTTTGTCTAATCTTAACCCAATTTGAGAAAAACGCGTTTGAAATTTCAAACTTTGTTCGTATTGTCCCCGGACTGTGTGAGCGAAAATTAGCCCTGTATAAGTGGTCAAATATTTACTCACCTTGATTTATTTCTATTTATCTCAAAAATACTGCATTCTGATTGTTTGAAAATTCGCATCGCTCAACTCGCCAAAAAGTGCATTTACCAAGTGAATTTTATGCCCCCTAAATTAATTTTTGGGGGGGGATTGTTTACATAGTCTTTGAAGGTTCTGACTAAAAACTTGTGGATGTCGTGCAGATGTTCGTCCCTCCTCCATCTGGTCATAACTAAAGATTAAATTCCTGATACTTTGAGTTTTCATCGATATTTGATTGTGTTTGAATTTACATTACCCGGCCTAAATTACCATGATGTTGCTCTCGAAGTTTATTCGTTTCGTTGATCTAAAACTATTGATGATTGTTTTTAAGGTGTTACATTACCTTGGCGCAAGCCCTTGGTATGTCACTCGGAGGAGCTCCTGCTGGACCGGCTGGTACAGGAAAAACCGAGACCACCAAAGACATGGCTCGTTGTCTAGGCAAATACGTTGTCGTGTTCAACTGCTCCGATCAGATGGACTTCCGAGGTCTGGGTAGGATCTACAAGGGTCTGGCACAGTCTGGCTCCTGGGGATGCTTCGATGAGTTCAACCGAATTGACCTCCCCGTGTTGTCCGTCGCTGCTCAACAGATTTACGTGGTGCTGCAGTGTAAAAAGGAAAAGAAGACCCAATTCGTCTTCACTGATGGTGACATTGTGGACTGCGACCCAGAGTTTGGTCTCTTCATCACAATGAATCCGGGTTACGCCGGACGTCAGGAGTTGCCTGAGAATCTGAAGATTCAGTTCAGATCCGTCGCTATGATGGTACCGGACCGTATGATCATCATGCGTGTCAAACTGGCCAGCTGCGGTTTCCAGCAGAACATAATTCTGTCCCGAAAATTTTTCACACTGTACAAACTGTGCGAATTGCAACTAACTAAACAAGTCCATTACGATTTCGGTTTGAGAAACATTTTGTCAGTATTGCGTACTTTGGGTGGTGAGAAGCGTCTGAACCCCCAAGATGCTGAGAACATCACTGTGATGAGAGTTTTGCGAGATATGAACTTGTCTAAACTTGTAGACGAGGACGAACCGCTTTTCCTTTCGCTAATCGACGATCTGTTTCCTGGCATTGATCTGGATAAAAAAGGATACCCGGATATTGAAGGTGCGATTAAGAAGGAAATTGAGGAAGCTCAGTTGATTCACCATGCACCGTGGGTTCTGAAGCTGATCCAACTGTACGAAACCCAAAGAGTCCGTTGGGGAATGATGGCTCTCGGACCCTCGGGAGCAGGAAAGACTAAATGTATCCAGATGCTGATGAAAGCTATGACTGATTGTGGAGCCCCCCATAAGGAAATGAGAATGAACCCGAAAGCCATCACTGCGCCGCAGATGTTTGGACGCCTGGATGCCGCTACCAATGACTGGACTGATGGTATTTTCTCGACTCTCTGGCGCCGAACTCACAAAGTCAAGAAGAGTGACAATGTCTGGATTGTTCTGGACGGTCCAGTAGATGCTATCTGGATTGAAAATTTGAACTCTGTGTTGGACGATAACAAGACCTTGACCTTGGCGAACGGAGATCGAATTGTCATGGCTCCGAACTGCAAAGTGGTATTCGAACCACATAACATTGACAACGCTTCGCCGGCTACTGTGTCGAGAAACGGCATGGTATTCATGTCAAGTTCGATTCTCGATTGGGACCCGCTCGTCCGCGCATGGTGTCGCCGACAACCTAACGGAATCTCTGACACCGTTTACCAGCTGTACGAAAAAGTTTTCCCACAATTGTACACGTATATCAATCAGAACCTTGTGCCAAAAATGCCGCTTCTAGAAGCCATGTATGTCCGACAGAGTTTGGACATGATGGATGGGCTGCTGCCCAGCGAGGAAAATGCAAAGTTACCGTCAGATAAACATCTGGAGAGGCTGTTTGTCTTTGCAATCATGTGGTCTCTAGGAGCTGTTTTGGAGCTGGGAGACAGATCAAAAATGGAAGCCGAGTTAAGGAAAATGAAGGTGGTCGATTTGCCAAAAGCAGAGTTCGACGGCGATACTATATTTGAGTTTTTCGTAAATGAATCAGGAGATTGGGATCACTGGAGCAAAAAGGTACCTTGATTTTTTTCTTTTATAAACAAATAAAAAAATTAATTTTTTCATTTAGAAAAAAAACATACTGTATTCTAGCCCTATTTCATTTCATAAAGCATTTGACAATTAAGAAAATGAGATTGGTACCAGAATGTAATTTTGAAAACAGCCTTTTAAGTTATGTCATAAATCGAATACAGAGCAGAGTTTGTACGAGAGTTTCATATTTTTTGAACAGTAGTTCTGCATCAGCTTTCCCTAGTTGAACAACATCCTGCCTGGCTGTTAGTAAATCAATTTGAGGTAATTAATGCAGAAGTTTTTTTAGCCACCAGAAGTTCGGATATGAATTTAATTACGTCTTAAGCTCAATAATAGTTGGAAGGTGTTGTTTTTAAGATAATTTTCCATAAGATTTGACTACGTAGTGAGATTTCATTCGAAATTTTCTAATCAGGTACCCGACTTCGACTACCCGAAGGATTCGACTCCGGACTACTCTGGAATTTTGGTTCCTAACGTGGACAACATCCGGACGGACTTCCTGATCCAAGTGATCGCCAAACAGGAGAAGGGAGTGCTGCTTATCGGTCAGTTTTTTGTTTGATGCTCGAGATGGTAAAAACAAAAGAATCTAACAGAGTGTCCTACTTTAGACAATAGGAGTATTATGAATGCCTTCTGAAAATCTTTTGTGGAAATTTCTAGAGCGTGGTTGCCACTTTTCGCTTAAAATAAAGTCACATGAACAAGTCAAAAATGCCCTTCTTGCAGGGACAAATTTTTAATAATATTTTGAGATATCCATTTTTGGTGACGGACCCTAAAATTTTTCTAAAGGCGCCTTTGGCGCCAATATATAATATTTTAAGGGGGGAGCGCGCACCTAAAAAACGCGATTTTTTTGGTCAAAATTTTTCAAAAAGTGCCTAAAAATGCCTTTTTTGGCCTGTTTTTTCAAAATTTTGAATGCGGCGCTGAGTTTTTGGCCAAAACAGAGTCTTTGTAGTGCTTTGGGAGAGCTCGGTAAATCAATTTGGTCGACAAAATTTGGATCCGCCCCTGCCTTCTTGGATAATTTTGACCAAAAAATTAAAAAGCGTTTTTTCGGCGCGCGCTCCCCTTCAAACTTAGTATATATTGGCGCCATTTTTTGAAGCGTTTTCAAATCATCAGTTGATCATAACAAACATCAACTGATGATTTGAAAGCGCTTCAAAAAATGACTATTATTGTGCATGCAAGCTACATGTTCGCTTACATGAGAAAACATTTTTAAAATTGTTTATGATTGAGTGTAAAGTTCAATTGGTGCTTGATGTTCAGGTGAGCAGGGTACTGCGAAGACAGTGATGATCAAAGGCTTCTGTGGGCGATATGACGCCGAGTACCACCTGAGCAAGAGCATGAACTTCTCCTCGGCCACTGAGCCCATCATGTTCCAGAGGACTGTGGAGAGTTATGTGGACAAGAGAGTGGGTACTACTTATGGACCCCCGGCAAACAAGAAGATGACTGTGTTTGTGGATGACATCAACATGCCAGTCATCAACGACTGGGGAGACCAGGTGAGGAAGGGCATTGGTTTGTCTTAGCCGGTCTCCATTAGTTTGCGCGAGAATCAATGGGGGTAGTTTACATGGGGGTAGTTTAAAAACTATTTTTGTCTATTTATTTAAGGCCAGCCAATTCGAAATTTTTAAGCTTTGCTGAAACCCCAGATTAACCGTAAATGGGCAAATTTTCTGCCTATTTTGCCTGTTTTTTTTGTATGAAGCAGTACTTAACACCTTATGCTCACTGGGTGCAGTTTCAATATAGTATGGCATTATGGATAAATTATAGTTTCTAACAGATTTATTTCCCCTAGAAGGTACCTCTGAAAACCACTGGTTGTAGTATAATTAATAGTCGTGTAATGTGGGGAGAAATTATTTTTCTTGTGAAGATTGAATATCAGAGATCCTCTCGCTTTTTTGACTTAAGCATTCCCTAGTTCTCTAAATTTTTTCTAAAAGAGGTTTTCCCCTGTGGTTTTTATGAAGCAAAATTTGGGAAATTATTTAAGCCCAAAACAAATACAAAACTTTTTTTTTCGTTCATTGGTAACTTCATTTTTTGAGGCATCTTTACAGGACAAATCGAATGATTGCCTAGGTTTTTTCTACAATTAGTTTTGAAATTTTCCTGATTTTCTTTTCATGGCCATATTAAAAAAAAACAAGGATAGCCGGTTGCTGTGCATGTAGAACAGAATGTTCCGACCTCATTTATAAAAAAAATGCAAAACATTTTTTTTTGATTTTTTCTTCAATTTATTGTCGTTTCTTTGTGGGTAATGTGGTGAGAAAACTATACAAACGCGTATAAAATCAGCAATTTAAGTTAAGTTGACAACAGTTGTCATTGAAAAATGAAAAACAAACAAACACAAAGAAATTCAAAAAAATTATAATATTTGGCACTAAAATTTTTACGAAAACTTCGATTCCTAGGGAAGCGCTAAATGAAGCCTCTACAACTATTTTTTTTAATGAAATCAAATTTTTTCTTGTTCAATTGACCAATATCCATCAAATGTTACACTTAACGAACGTTACTCGATCGCGTGCGTTCCTCACTCGAAATTAGACCAAAAATCAAAAACTTTAAACGAGTTTTTTTTCGAAACTGAGAGATGATTTTTTTCAAACTTTTTAATGTCGTTTGAATCACGACTGGAAGGGCTCTCATATGATATATCGCTCGACCCTCTCCGATTGTTAATTTTTAAAAAAATTTTTAGAATAAGCCTGCTCGCTTGCTTTACTTGTTCGAAATAAGACTAAAACTCAAAAATTTCAAACCGGTTTTTCTCGCCACTGGGACAATTTTTGAACGTTTTTTTAATTTCGTTTGAGTCGCGACTGAAAGGGCTTCAATGTGATATATCACTCAACCCATTCCGATGATTATTTGTTGTACCTAATTTTGCGTGGAAAACAAAAGGAAACAAGACTGCTCGTATCAGCGCAAAGCCCTGAACGTTCCGACTGCTTTATAAGGTCTATGGTGCAGTAATAAAAAGAAAAAATTTAATGTAATAAAATAAAATGAAAAAAAATTCTTAATATGAGATTTTTTGTGAAAATCATCCCACTACACGCCATATAAAGTACAAAGTGATAGATTTTGCTCCTAGTAACAAATCAATTATGGCGACCAAGCTTCCTTCAACCAATTTGGAACGATTTCTTTGACGGATTAAATCTCCGCTTACGCGTTAATAGCGCGAATTATATCGCGCGTTCGTTTTTCCCAAATTGGCCAAAATGGCATTTTTTATACCTCCATAACTTCACGAAAAACGATCACAGGTAAAATATCTCTTCAAGCTTAAGCTCAGGACAACAATACCTTCTGAATGATTCCGTCAAAATTAGCCAGTTAAAAAGTCGAAGTTTGTCTGAAGAAAAAAACCTTGTCCGTTTCCCCGTGTGAATTAGTCTGAAAAACGGCAAATATCAGCTCGTCAGTTACGAAAGACAAAAAAAAGTCGACGTTTGTCTGAAGAAAAAACCCTACCCCGAGCACAAATATTGCGTTACTTTTGTTACGAAAGTCGGAACAATAAAACTCCAAGCATATAAAATTATTGGTCCAGTTTATTGAAAATGGGTTTGTTTAATCTAAAAAAGTCAATCATAAAAGATTCGTAAAATTGGAAGAGCTTTGAGGCCATATATTTTTTTAACTTCCGAACTCGAAAGTGGCAAGATTTTCGAAACAGCAATCATTTTTTGCGTGTCCTTGAGTTCATTGACACTATTCTTATTGTCCGTTGGCTCTGTTTATCGTAATTATTAGTTTTAATTTGTCTGTTCCAGATCACGAACGAAATTGTACGTCAGACTATGGAGAACAAGGGCTTCTACAATTTGGAGAAGCCGGGCGAGTTCACCAACATAGTGGACATCCAGTTCATGGCTGCCATGATCCACCCGGGAGGGGGTAGAAACGACATCCCCCAGAGACTGAAGAGACAGTTCAACGTCTTCAACTCCACTCTGCCCTCCAATGCATCTATCGACAAGATCTTCTCAACTATCGGAAAAGGTCACTAATGACTCTACCACTCATAAATTAAACGGGAAACTTTAGGCAGCTGAAGGCAAGCTAAACAACAAACCAAAAGCAGCTTAATTGGCTTCTACTAGTTTTTCCGGCAGATTTTTTGAATGACTTGCTCTAAATTATCAAAGAAATTTGATGATTTGATAACTTGTGTTCAGATTATTTGTTTTTACGTTCAGCGATTATTTTGATCTTTTTAATGCAAATTGATCCAAAGAAAACAGTTCATGAAAGCTTAACTGACTGTTTAATGCTATTTTTAAGGCCACTACGTCCCCGAGCGTGGCTTCTCAGTCGAAACACAGGAAATAGTCGGGAAGCTAGTACCCCTAACCCGAATCATCTGGCAGAAGACGAAGATAAAGATGTTGCCAACCCCAGCCAAGTTCCACTACATCTTCAACTTGAGAGATCTCTCCCGAATCTGGCAGGGAATGATCAACACCTCTTCAGATGTGGCCAATGACTCGAAGACCCTGGTGCAGCTGTACAAACACGAGTGCACTCGAGTTATTGCAGATCGGTTCATCAATTATGACGACATGAACTGGTTCGACAAATCTATCAAACAGGTGATTTATTTGCTCGCTTTTGGTAACATATACTGATTGGTTATAACACAATCACGCTGGAGGGCTTTAAGATTTGATTGCATGATTTCTTAACGGTCTTCTTACATGGAATCATTAAAAAATCTAATTGTTTTCTTGGAACACGGTGCAAAATTTCAAAAATATTTTAAGTAAAACGTTCATTTAGTTTAATCAATGAGCAAAAACGTTTAATTGCTTTTTGGAGTCCAAAAGTATGATACTCAAAAACTTGTTAATCTAAATTGAAGTTGTTTATTAGAGCACTAGTATAAGTTGCGAAGGTTTATTAGAACACTAGTATAAGTTGCGATCCGTAAATAGCGAACAGATTGATATAAACCAAGCTTGTTTCAGTTGGTGACTGACGAACTGGGCGCTGAGTACACCCAGTACATGGAAATGGAGCCCTACTTTGTCGACTTCCTCCGAGAAGCACCCGAGCCCACTGGTGAGTCATTGTTGCATAACACTCGTACACTCATTACATAATCAAGTGAACAACCTTGGCTGATTATCGAGCTCTCAAGAACTGAATTGCACTCAGTTTCGAACTTATGTAAAACGCAAGTTGTAGAATCGCGATAAAAAAATATGAATTATGAGATCAAAATTGAGTAATTGAAACGTGGGAGTTTTTTCAACCAATCGCAGGCGAGGATGGTGAGAAGCAAGCGAGAAGCAGCCGTAAGTTTAACGGTAATTGTAATCAAGATGGCATTTTTTAAAGTTATATCATTCTTTTGTTATCGGGTTCATTTTCCTCAAACGTTGATCGATCCAATAAATCTACCTCGCAAATAGTTCACTAAGCAGCAAAAGCGGCAGCAGGTTCAAAGCGAGGTCAAGAACTTCCGCTGATTCAAACTACAGAAACATCAAAAATTATCAGCTTTTTAAAAATCTATTGCAAAAAGGGTGAATTCGTTACCTGATACAAAATCCGCATATACTTTATGCTTTACTATGAGATTTGAGAATACTGTGAGATTTGAATAAACGGAAGTTTGGGCGGACTCTGTCTCAAAAACTAGCTTTCAAATGTCAGCAAGTTGAGCGTGTCATATTCATGTTATGATACTTAAAATTATATCTATAATCTTTCGCGATGCTGGCGTTGCGGCGCTAAAATTTCATTTAATTATCACTTGCAAGAAATTTAACGTTTATTTGTTTAAGATAAAATTGAGATTTTAAACTGTACAAAAATTGGGTGTTCTGTCAGTGCGTTGAAATTATTCAGAAGTATCAGTGCCAGGTAACAAAATCAATCAAGACAATTGCATTTTTTGTTGATTATTTCAGCTTTAACCTGCAAACTAAGTCCATTTTTTGTTTAGCACATGCCCAATTCTCTTTCAGCTCATTCACTCATCAGCCGCATTAATTTACCTTTTAGACCACTTAAATGTGAGCAGTTACAGCTCACTTTTGTCATGTGTTAAGCTCAACGGGGGAATCTTTCATGCATTAAGAACCGAATGCCCAAAATTGTATTAGCCAATCATAATTCAGCATTCAAAGATTCGGATGAAAGAATTGGTCAATTTTAGGCAGTTTAAAGGAAGTTGTTTGGAGAGAAATTCGCTCATTCGATCCTTCTTGCATGGGAATAGACCTCAATTTCAACTTTTTCTCGGGTTTCTAGAATATTTTGCATGATGTAATGATATGATGATTGCAGGAGAGGAGGCTGAGGACGCCGTGTTCGATGCCCCTAAAGTGTATGAGCCGATTGTGAGTTTCGACCAGCTGAAGAGTAAGCTGCAGGAGTTCCAGGTGCAGTACAACGAGGCAGTCAGAGGAGGCGTCATGGACCTCGTATTCTTCAAGGTATGGTCTCAATGAAGAAAAAGACGTTTACTCATTGAAGTTATGCACTTCAATCATATGATTTATGATTTCAGTTGGGCCCTTTAATTTAACCCCCATCCAAAATATGTTGCTTTTCTTTGAAAGATGATTGTAAGTTTTCGAGTATCGACAAAATGCATTGTTAAATAAAACGAAAGTTTAGAAATGAGGTTTCCATTTCATTGAACAACTTTCTACGTCGTTTTCAGAAAATGTATTGTTTTAATAAAAAAACGTGGATTAACAGCAAGGTAACGGAAAGCTCGAAGTTATATGGATATAACAGGTATCAAGTATTTTTGACAAACAATAATTTAACTGTATTCTTTGTTTAGGACTGCATGTGCCACTTGACCAAGATCTCGCGCATCATTCGAACCCCCAGAGGAAATGCCCTGCTAGTGGGAGTGGGTGGATCGGGCAAACAGAGTCTCACTCGACTGGCCTCATTCATCGCCGGATACAAGAGCTTCCAAATCACACTCACACGGTAAATAATATACTTCTAAAATATATCTGCATATTTTTATTTTCATTTTTTCCAAAAAAATTTGAACGAATGATTTTCTCTGAGTGAAACATTTAAAGAGCGTTTAGGAGGGTGTTTTGCTTAAGCGTAAAAGCTTAAGCGTAAAAGATACATTTTTAAATTGTAAAAAAGAAATTGCCTCTTTTTCAATGCCTTTGGAAATGTTTTCCATGTCATCGTTTTGGTCGGCTTATGTATCGACTTTCGTCGACCTTATGTTCCTGTCACCCTATATAACTTGGGTCTATAATCAGACGTCGTTCGACCTATACGGTCGATCCATAATTCGACGAACTCAACCCGGGCATCTCGTCAATTTCATTAATTTTTGACTTTCGTCACAAAAAAGTGGCAGGTGCTGCTGAAATTTTGAAAGCGTTTTTTTTCTTCGTTTTGGTAATAGATTTTTTCAAAAGTCATATCGTTTCATATAACTTTTTATCTTTCATAACATATCATAACCTGTCATTTCATTACCTTGCCCTTCCCCGTGATTCAGATCGTACAACCAGAGCAATCTGATGGATGACCTGAAAGTGCTATACCGCATGGCAGGTAAAGACGGACTGGGAGTGACATTCATATTCACCGACAACGAGATCAAAGACGAGGGATTCCTAGAGTACATGAACAACGTGCTCGCATCAGGAGAAGTAATTTGATCACGTTTTCACCATGTTCAACCTAATTTTAAGGTTTTCTTTTTATTTTGATTACGAACTTATTGGGTGATGGGACCTCTCTGTTGACCAAAATAGATCGATATTATTCAGGCTCAAATACTGATGAAAATTCTTTCATTCATCCCGACAGGCTAGTTCAGATCCACAATCACAAACTTCGCTACGTACACTTTTTTCACCTCTTCATCGTATCATATCAAAATTATCATTACTCTGTTGAATTAATTAAACATTTGAAAGGCTAGCATTTGAAACTCGTCAATAGGTTTTTTTTCGAAAATTTCCTTTTGAAATACGGGCCATATATGCACATGCAGCCAGTACGCAGCTGCTAACCTGATGCAAGACCTGCAGACTCTCTACCGCTCTGCGGGGCTAGATGGGAAGGGAACTGTGTTCGTGTTCACAGACAACGAAATCAAAGAGGAGAATTTCCTCGAGTACATGAACAACGTACTCAGCTCAGGCGAAGTAAACAGAACAACATCAACAGCAGCAGCAGAAAAAAAAATCCAACCAACAAAATCATAACCAAATCAACAAAAGTCTCCAAAAAGCATAGCATGTAGCCTAAGTCTCCGATTACCTAAACAACTCAGATTGAAAGAAGCGGCTTGAAAAATTTTTTGTGAAATGTGTCTGACTTAAAAACAGATATATAACATCCAATACAAATATCTTTTGAAAAATTAATTGTTTTTACCAGATTACCAGGGATCGATTTGAGCTGTTTAACTTTTCCATGGCGTAACATTACCCGCTGCTAGTAGTATCAAAGGTCATATTGTCACAGCAATGTGTCAATTTTAGTCTCAATCGAAATAATTGTTATTAGTCTGTTAAATAATTGACTGTTTCAGGTGTCAAATCTGTTCGCGAGGGATGAGTTGGACGAGATCACGGGTGAGCTAATCCCAGTGATGAAAAAGGAGTACCCGAGGAGACCCCCGACCATCGAGAACCTCTACGACTACTTCCTAACAAGAGTCAAAAACAACCTTCACGTCGTTCTCTGCTTCTCTCCTGTAAGTTGATACCAAGAAACGGAGTTCCCATCCTGATGGGACCATAATTGTTTGATTACGGCTAGTTGTTTTAGCCTTGTTCATCTCAGAATGTGAAAGTTCTTAAATTTCAAAAGGTTTTTTTATAATACTAGTTTTGATATGTATTTTGAAATGTTAAATATTTGATTTAGAAATCATGAACGCAAGTTCATAATGTCCTTAACTTTTCTTGTAGGTTGGCTTTTTTTACAGAATTTCAAGTTTTGTCTCACTCGTAAGTCTCGTTTTTGATTTTAGTTTTGATTCAGCTTCTACTTTAAAAGCAAGTCAGTTCTTTTCTAATTGCAAAGTGTGTCCGTTCAGGTGGGTGAGAAGTTCCGAAACCGTTCGCTCAAATTCCCCGGTCTTGTGTCTGGCTGTACGATGGACTGGTTCCACAAGTGGCCTCGGGAGGCACTGGTCGCAGTGTCGGGTCACTTCCTCTCGCCATTCGAGATAGTGGCCGCCGACAACGTCAAGTCGGCTCTGATCGCTGTGATGGGAGAGATCCACGACGGAGTGGCAGACATTTGTGTCGAGTACTTCAACAGATTCAGAAGGGAGACGCACGTGACCCCCAAGTCTTACTTGTCGTTCTTGGACGGCTACAAAGGTACAAAAACAGTTATTGTTTCGACCACTTAACGAAATGAAGGGAAAAAAGTATGGTGTAGGGTGTTTTTTTTTCACTCAATTTAGACTGCCACAAAAAAATTTCGTAGGGTCAAGTCTGGTATCGTATTTACTCGACACCAATTTTTTAATATATTTTTTAGAAAAAATCCCACTCGGAAAACTGACGAAATTAAACCGTTCAATGGATGAAAAAGAAATCCTACCTACATTTTTCCCGAGTTTTATTCTGGGATCACGTTACACTTCAAGATAATTAAATGTTACTAGTTTTTAGATATTTATTAGACTAATCTGGGTGCTATAGTTTGAGCAAACTGAGTACTAATCGATGAGTTTACTGTGCAGGCATCTACACTGAGAAGAAAGAGCGACTGCAGACACTGGCCCAGAGGATGCAGACTGGTCTGGACAAGTTGGTGGAGGCGACTGAGAGTGTGAATGCACTCAGTAAAGAACTGGCCGTGAAAGAGAAGGAGTTGGCAGTGGCGTCCAAGGAGGCCGACGAGGTACGTAGTCGCCGCCAGCTACTATCTTTATGCTTATTAGCTTGTATCATAGTGGTAGTATTGGGTTGTGATTGATTGATGTTCACCAGAAAAGTGATTCAAAATAGTTTGCATCATTTGTTTGCATGTTGCATTTGCTCTATGATATCCGGGTTCAACAAATAAGAGCGATGCCCAGTCATCATAAGTAAATGTGCAATATAGTGCTTATCCATATCCAAGTACTTTGCCGTTTAGGGTCTTTTCAACTAAACTTTTAATTGGGAAGTTTTAAGTCGAATTTCGACTAGAAAAAATTCGTATGATGGCTAAATTAATTTCACTGGCAAATCAAGAGAAACCCAATTAAACACTGCGTTATCTTGATTTGCTGCAAAATTTAGATAAAGCAATTGTATTGTTTTATTGTACTCCAAATTCAAATTGCTCATTTCTGAGGTACCTAATGAAAGCAAAAATCCTGAAAAATTGTTTTTCGGAAGTCATAGGGAAATTTTCTTCTTTCATTGTTTTCTGAAAAGCATATCATTGACACTAGCTCTCGAAATTTTAAATTTAAGTTACTATTAACTAATTTGTCAGGAAAAACTGCTTCAAAAAGTGAATCTATAGATACAGTTCTGATTTAAATTATCCAAACAAAACGCATAAAACTTTGAAATTAAAACGCGAAGTTTCTCAAACTGGGTTGAATTTAGGTGAAAAAGAATGAAAAGACAAAATTGGTTAAAATTTATGGTGCAATTTTTTTTGCAAAATTCGGGCTCAATATAATCAAAAGTTTGATAATCAACGCCAAAACTACCGAGTCATTTACTCACAAAATTGTATCCAGGGTATAATTTTCAAAACATTGTAAAACTTAGATTTATTTTTGTTTGGTAGACAAAAAACGTCATTTTTGCTAAATAAAACAACCATTTTTTGTTTAAAAACAATTTTAAATAATTTCCGATAAACTCTTCTCTGTTGACAGGTGTTGAAAGAGGTGACGGCCAAGCAGACGTCGGCGGAGGCCGTGAAGGCCCAGGTGCAGACTGTGAAGGACAGGGCACAGGCACTGGTGGAGGAGATCGAGGCGGACAAGGCGGTGGCAGAGAAGAAACTGTCCGCAGCTGCACCTGCTCTCGCAGAGGCAGAGGCTGCATTGCAGGTAATTAGCACATATGGTGACAACAAATATTGAATACATTTCCGTTTTTGCCCCAAGAACACGCAAAACAGTTAATGAGTTTGACGAAGCTGGTTCTTAATGAATCTTGTTCTCTCATGGATGGTCCTAAGATAATCTTGAGATTGACGCGGCTCAGAGAAAAATCGGAGATCCGTTTCAAAAGTGTACGAACTACAATGCAAAATTGCATGTAACAGTGGGGTTTTTCTGACACACTGCGCAGAACACTTTTCAAATCAGCAGAAAATTAATAGAATCTATTTTAAAAATTGCAGATGAGAAATTCATCTAAAATGGCTGAAAAGTTTGAGTATTGATCTCAATGATACTTCAATTTGAGCTTTGTTTTTCCTTTCACATTCCCACACGACTTTCAATGTGTGTTCTATGATATTGCTATCCAAACTGGTCATGCATATTTTAGACGATCAAAGCGGCCGATATCTCCACAGTGAGAAAATTGGGCAAGCCTCCTCATCTGGTCATGAGGATCATGGATGCTGTGCTGCTCCTGTTCCAGAAGAAGATTGACCCAACCACCAAGGACCCAGAGAAAGAGTGTGTGAAGCCCTCTTGGGGAGAGAGTCTGAAACTGATGGGAAACACTCAGTTCCTCACTCAGCTGCAGACATTCCCCAAGGTACACTTTTAATGCTACCCTTATCATTCAAATGATTCAAGTATAGTCCAACGTTCTTTAAAAAAACTTGTAAAAGTTGCCTGTTAGCTTTAGTTTTTGAAATCTCTATAGTAATCCCTCTTCTATGATGGAAATAACTAATTCAATTGTTAGACATTTAAGCATTTTAAACGCATAGCTGGTAATATGCGTCCCCCTTTTGTAATTGTCAGGGGAGGAGTATTTACGGAGTTCCTGTTTTCCGTTAAAATGTTGGAGACAAAATTTGTTGTTGTAATGACTCTTAAACATCATCATGAAAATTATGAAAGAATTTGACGCTCTTCTAATAAAATTACATAATAAAACAGCTAAGAACTCTTAATGTGATCAAAAATCGAATATATTTGTTGCTTTAAACAGCAGGAAAATGTGTATTTAATTTATATCATTTAGGATACGATCAACGAAGAAATGGTTGAGCTGTTGGCCCCCTATCTGGAGACAGAAGACTACAACCTCGAAACAGCCAAGAAGGTATCCGGCAACGTCGCAGGTCTTCTCTCGTGGACCCAGGCAATGAGCTTCTTCTATGGCGTCAACAAAGAGGTACTGCCTCTCAAAGCTAATTTGGTTGTGCAGAGTTCGCGTCTCGCTGGAGCCCAGGCTGAGTTATCTGAGGCACAAGGACAACTCGACCAGAAGGAAGCTGAGCTGAAAGAAGTGCAGCAAATGTACGACTCTGCTATTCAGAAGAAACAGGATCTACTTGACGACGCGGAATCATGCCGACGAAAAATGCAGAACGCTACAACGCTGATTGACGGACTTTCAGGCGAGAAGATTCGTTGGACTGAGGCTAGCAAGTCGTTCGACGACCAGACTATTCGATTAGTTGGTGACGTTTTGCTGGCAACTGGCTTCCTGTCGTACTCCGGGCCCTTCAACCAGGAGTTCCGAAACGTGCTTCTGAAATCTTGGCGAAAATTGATGGCTAATAACAAGATTCCCTACAGCGATGATCTGGATTTGATCCAGATGCTGGTCGACAATGCGACTATCGGAGAGTGGAATCTGCAAGGTCTGCCCAATGATGATTTGTCGGTTCAGAATGGTATCATTACGACCAAAGCGGCCAGATATCCCTTGATTATTGACCCGCAGTTGCAAGCCAAGACATGGATCAAAAACAAAGAAAAAGAAAATGAGCTGCAGGTTAGTCATCTGAAACTTCAAAAGGAACCAAATATCAAATTTACCGCATCAGCCAGAATTGGAAAACAGATTAAAAAGTTGTATAAAATAGATTAAATAAATACAACAACTGTCCTGTCAATTTTTGTCTTTTTTGCCATGTTTCTTGAAGTTTAATAGGTATCGAAATTCGCTAAGACTCGAATAAATATCTTACAGGCATCAAGTTCACAAAACGTGAATCAAATCTTTCGTTTTTCAGGTGACATCGTTGAACCACAAGTACTTCCGAAACCACTTGGAGGACGCACTGTCGCTGGGGAGACCCCTTCTGATAGAGGACATCAATGAAGAGCTGGATCCTGCCCTGGACAACATTTTCGAGAAGAATTTCGTCAGATCTGGCAGACAGCTCAAGGTTAGTTAGCTTTGCAGAGAGCAAATGATGACATTTCACAGAAGAATTCATTGCCGTCACATTGCCTACTGAGATTTTTGAAATCTTTCTATTTTGAAAATCAAATATTTCATTTAGTTCAATGGGTTTTCCGGTTTGAGTGTTTCTGTTAGCTTTTGTTTGCGTCATTGGTACTCATAATATGCAGCGTTTCTGTGTTTTTGCAGTCAATTTTTAAGAATCGATGAACCTGGTTAATACTCATATAAGTCGCGAAGATTTTTGTTCTGTTTTGTTTTTCAGGAAAGTCTCTCAATTTGTTCAGGCTCAAGTTTACTTTTTCGTGGTTTGACTTTTGATTTTTCAAGTTAAATTTCTTTGTTAAAAGGAAAACAAACTTCACTATCGAGCAGCAAGAATGTAAAGTTCACGAAAAATGTGATCAACTTCTAGTTTCGAAAAATGAATTTAATTATCAGATTTTTCAGCGAAATAAAAATTTTACGTTTGACCAATTTTTCTCAAATTGGGTTAATTTTATCAAAAAGCACCAATCAAATTTGTTTTAAAAAATCAAAGAGCTTTAAAGCCATCTTTTTTCTCGGAAATCTTTTTCTTGGAAAACAAGTCAGTGATTTTTTTTCTGTTTATTTGCGTTCATTGACTATTTTACGACTGTCTGTTGGCTATGTTTTAAACATTTTGTTTTGGTTTCTGATTTTTGTTTTTCAAATGTATTTGCAGGTGGAACTTTAAACTCACTTTAAATATGGAAAAATATTTCAATGGAAAATTTTCACTATATTTTTACGAATCTTCATCGCCTTAATGGTTTTCCATTCCAGGTGAAAGTGGGAGACAAGGAGTGTGACGTGATGCAGGGCTTCAAGATGTACGTCACTTCCAAACTGGGAAACCCAAGTTACACTCCCGAGATCTATGCGAGGACCTCCATCATCGACTTCACTGTGACCATGAAGGGACTGGAAGACCAGCTGCTCGGAATTGTGATCATCAAGGAGAAAGCGGTCAGTGCAGCGTTATAAACAAATATCGAAATTTGAATTGGTTTACATAATTGTTATTAATTTCGCATAGATAACCGTAGCCAATTAAAACTTTTTTAATGTTCTAGAAAAATTTCTCTGCTCAAATGAAAAACAAAATAGCGATTAAAATTAGTAAAGCGAAAAAAAAAGTTTTTTGTTTCAAAAATAACAGTAGTCGGAATTTTCTGTTGTAGTTGAACAACTACCTGCTGTTCTTGTCTATCCTTTTTTGCGTTTTTAAAACTTATGTTTACGAAATACAGCTTCGCCTCTTTGTTAAACAAAACGGTTATCCGAAACTCAAGATTAACTCCGTTGTAGCCGATATTTGTTATTTTTTCATCAAAAATTGCTTCAATGTCAAATTTATGATGAAGATGTAGGCTTTACAACCAATTTTTATCACAAGGGTTAATAACAGCGCTATGAATCTTCTGTGATAGTTGCAAAACAACCAGGTACTTTTGTACATGATCATAGACCTGATTGATCTTCATTTCTCTTCTATTTGTTAGGAACTGGAACAAGAGCGTGTGAGTCTAATGGAAGAGGTGACAGCTAACAAACGGAAGACTCAGGAGCTGGAGGACAATCTGCTGTACAGACTGACATCCACTCAGGGATCCCTGGTGGAGGATGAGTCACTGATTGCGGTGCTGCAGAGCACCAAAGTGACGGCAGCCGAGGTGAAGGAGAAACTGAAGGTGGCGGCCGAGACTGAAATCAAAATCAACACTGCAAGAGAGGAGTACAGACCAGGTCAGTCAGTGCATATTATGCTTCATTTGAATCTGAAAAGCGAAAGTGAAGTGGCGAGTTTTTCGGTCTGTCAACAGCAGTTCGAGACCTACCATAATCCAAGAAGATGATTCAGGGTACAAGGAATGTTTACCAGAATGCTTACACATGCATTCCGATGATCAAGGTGCAAAAATTGGTCGCGTGGATGGTTTATCGACTTAATCTTGAATGAATTAACGAATAAAGTTCTTCGATCACATTTTCCCCCGCAAATTTGATTGGAAAATGTTACATGAAGAGAGTCTTAGAGGGGACAGGAACCAGATCATTGATCTACGAGATATCCAGAACCAGTCCTACTTATAGAAACATCGTAAGGTATTAAAAACAAACCAATTGAGAAAAAATGAGTCATTTATTTGTTTAGTGGCCAACCGTGGTAGCATCGTCTACTTCTTGATCGTGGAGATGAGCATGGTCAACATCATGTACCAGACGTCTCTCAAACAGTTCCTCGGAATATTCGACCTCTCCATGGAACGGGCTCCCAAATCCCCCATCACCAGCAAGCGAATTGCCAATGTGATTGACAGCTTGACATTTGAGTCATTCAGATACACCATCAGAGGTCTTTATGAAGAGCATAAGTTCATGTTCACACTTTTGGTGACCTTGAAGATAGACTTGAACATGAAGAGAATCAAGCCGGACGAGTTCAACACTTTGATCAAGGGTCAGTTTTTTCACAGTTGTTTTCTAGGTCATAATACATTTTTGTTCCGACTTTCGATACGAAAGTGACGGAATATTTGTGCTCGGGTGGGTTTTTTTTTTCTTCAGACAAATTTCGACTTTTTAACTAGCCATTTTTGACAGAATTTTTTTATATCATTCAAAAGGTATTGTTGTCCTGAGCTCAAATTTGAAAAGATATTTCACTTGTGATCATTTTTCGTGAAGTTATGAGGGCTTAAAGATTGCCAATTTGGGACAATTAGCGTGCGATATATTTCGCTCTATTAACGCGTAAGCGGAGATTTAATCCGTCTTTTAAATCGTTCCAAATTGGTTAAAAGAAGCTTATTTGCCATAATTGTTTTGTTAAAATGAGCAAAATCTATTCTTTTAAACTTTATATGGCGTGTGGGGGGATGATTTCATAAAAAAAAATTTCAAATTTTAGAAAAAAATGATTTCAATTTTTTTTATTATACTTAATTTTTTTATGTTACTGCTGCTCGATAAACCTGAAAGGCAGTCGGAACATTCAGGGCTTTGCCCTGATACGAGCAGTCTTGTTCAGATTTGAAATCATTTTTCTTGAACTTCAGAAATGTAAACAATAAGACTTAAGAGAAGTTTTGAAAAATGATACACAAATTCAAGATAAACTTTTTACCATTGTGACATCTGGAGATTCCTATGCGTTCGAACAATCACTGACGAAAAAAATGGACCGATAATTGATGAAATAATGTTTTGACTTTTTTTTCACCAAGCAGCTGAGAAAATGTGCTTCCATTTTTTTGGAAATTAAAAATTTTACTTCAAACCATTTTAATCTGCAGTACTTCAAACTATTAGAAGGAAACACATTTTTAAAGAAAAACACTATAGACGCAGTTAGGTTTTGCTAATTGATTTAAGTATAAATCAAAAATGCATGCTTAGGTGGTGCTGCCCTGAATCTGAATGACGTGGAGCCAAAGCCGAAGAAGTGGATTCTGGACATGGCATGGCTCAATCTCTGTGCACTCATACACCTGCCCCAGTTCAACCAGATCCTCCAACAGGTACATTATGCTCATATTTTATAGACTTTTCTTTTCTGATCATCAATCATTTTTTGGGCATTGAAGTTATTGTAAGATGTGGAAATGTAGCTCCGAGGTCTTTAAATTGATCAGAAAAAAACCATCCATATCCACGTCTAAAAGCTTTAAAAAATCAAAAAGCAAATTATGAGTAATTAATGAAAAAACACATTGCCAACATTTAACATTTCGTCAAAAACTGTTAAAAAAAATTGTTTAGTCAGAAAATTCAGTCTCAAGACTTATTCACAATTTGGTCACAATTCAAGTGTATAATTCTGTTGGGTGTTGTAGGTCGGGCGCAATGACAAAGCCTGGAAGCAGTGGTTCGATGAAGATGCGCCAGAGGAAGCCACCATCCCAGACGGATACAACACTCTGGATCCCTTCCGCAAACTTCTCCTCATCCGCAGCTGGTGTCCAGACAGGACTCTAGCTCAGGCCAGACACTACATCGTCGACTCTATGGGCCCTAGGGTTAGTTTTTGCTATAAAAATTATATGAATTCATACAGCCTGTAAAAACTAATTTCATTTGTGTCTAAAATAAGGTTTCCGAAACAAATACATGAAAAATGTTCTTACTGCACACACTGTTCTTTCAGTTTGCGGAGGCTCAAATTCTTAACTTGGAGAATCTGTGGGAGGAATCAGACAACAGGACCCCTATGATCTGCTTCCTCAGTATGGGCTCAGATCCCACTGAGAGTATTGAGAAGTTGGCCAAGAAGCACGGACTGTCGTGCAAGGCCATCTCCATGGGACAGGGACAGGAGATACACGCGAGGAAGCTCCTGTCTAACGCCATGGCCGAAGGTCAGTTCAGTCTCGCAATATCCTGCTCGTTCAATCTTAATCTCAATTGAGAAGATATCATAAACAGGTTATCTGCTTTTGGCCGTGGCGAGTCTTTGAGATGCTCTAAATTGCTGCAAAAAATAAACTGTAATTACATAGTGGTATATATTAATATGATACTTTGCCATAAACGGTAATGAAAAAAGCACTGCTTTTTTCAATACCAATAAATCCACACGAAATTTATTGTTCCGATCGAAAAAATGTCTAAAAATTTGAAAATTCTGACAAAAGCCATTGTGCTATATTGAACCTCTCAAAGTATCAAACTTTCGTTCTTTGGATCTAATTAAATGAAGCCTTGGATGTAAGGAACCGATTTTAAGTAGAGATTTTTTGTTGCCTGCGATTTTGGTTTGCTGTTAAATGTGCTGCTTAGGTGGCTGGGTGTTGTTCCAAAACTGCCATTTGGGTCTGGACTACATGGATGAAATGCTGGACAGTGTGATCTCGGCCGAAAACCCAGACGAGAAGATGCGTGTGTGGATCACTAGTGAAGCCCATCCCAAGTTTCCCATCACAGTCCTCCAGAGTTCAATCAAGTTCACCTTTGATCCTCCACAGGGAGTCAAGGCCGGTCTCAAGCGAACATTCGCAGGTAGGGAGTTGTTGCACTTAAGCATGTTTGGATATAAGAAAATCAACTGATTGTTTTATGCATGCATTCGCTGTAACCGGCTGTAGCTTCTGGCCATATAATGAGGAAAGTTTTAATGAGTTGCCTTTTCGAAGCTCAGCTTATGAAAACAGTAAATTTTTATCAAATTTACTCTGCTTTTTATTGAATTTCATTTCTTTCATTGGCCAATTTTGAGCGAAGTGCCATAACACACAAAGGAACTTTTTTTTTTAACGGAAGCAAATTGACATGCGTAGTTGCGCTTGCGTATGTTGAATATCAAAATCCCAGTGGAAACATTTCAACTGTATTACAGTTTGCTCAGAGTTTTAACTAAGCAAAATATTAATAATGCCAACTGCTGATTTATTCCAGGTGTGACCCAGGATCAGTTGGAGATCTCGAATCTGCCAGAGTGGAAGCCACTGCTCTATGCTGTGGCATTCCTCCACACAGTGGTACAGGAGAGGAGGAAGTTCGGACCCCTGGGCTGGAATATCCCCTATGAGTTCAACAGTGCCGACTACACTAGCACAGTGCAGTTCTGCCAGAACCACCTCGACGAAGTGGACCCTAAGAAGGTATGAGACACTTTTAAATATTTTTATAAGAACTACATGGCATTACTTAAACATGGTGGATTACGCAAATATGGTATAGTTGAGCCAGGTCAGTCTTTTTCCAAATTTATCAGTCTTTTTGAAACAACTTATTGGTTACTTTGATTTTTGATAATTACATTTATCATTATTATACGAGTGACGGAGAGTAATACTCCGACTCGTAGTGGTTAAGTATGGAACCTCTAAGGTAAACAGATCAGAAATAAAATTTTGTTGACATTAAATTAGGTCAATTAGTATCAGCTATGAGTTATGCGCGTGTGTAACGTAGGGGATCTCGTGGGCAACCATCCGCTACATGATAGGGGAGGTGCAGTACGGAGGCAGAGTGACGGACGACTTCGACAAGATCCTGCTGAACTGCTTCGCCCGCTCCTGGTTCGGAGACCACATGTTCAAGGACGACTTCTCATTCTACAAAGGTCACTCAATCTTAACATTGTACATTTCTATTTAATTTCAATGTTCTCTATTGTGGCATTATGAAAGTGCCTGAATTGATAATCTATGCTGACAAACAATTACAGGAGACAAAAGTTTTACATAGTGCTGTCAATTTTACTGAGAAAATTATTTAAAAAAGTTAAGAAATTTGAAAAAAGAGGAAACTTAATTTATATTGAGATAAAACCTAAACAAATAGCTCGCATTTGAAATCAAAGAAAAACAAACGCTGATTAGGAATAAATACAGCTATAAATATTTTATGCGATTTAATATTCAAATCTTTCAAGTGTTATGATTTATTCCAGGATACGCCATCCCTAAATGCAAGACAGTGGACGAATATCGAAACCTAATTGAAGGCATGCCGAATGTCGATACGCCTCAAGTGTTCGGACTGCATCCGAATGCCGACATCACCTACCAGACGAACACAGCCAGCAAGTGTCTCGAGACTATCCTCAACATCCAGCCAAAGGAAGCCGGCGGAGGAGGAGGGGAGTCCAGAGAACAGGTGGTGTACAAGCAGGCACAGGAGTTCCTGGACAAACTGCCACCTGACTATGTGCCACATGAGGTGAGAGATAAACAAAGACATTAGTTTTGTGAAACTGTTCTAGTTAATCTGATAGGTTCTAGAAAGTTCTAGATTTTGCTAGGCAATCGAATGAAAAAATTGAGTTATCACTGGATATGTGGACAAATATAAACTAAATTGTTTTTAAATTTTTTTCTCGTAATTTTGTTTTGGTTGAAAGAATTGATTTTTTAAACTGAACTGTATAGCAGTTTGGAACTACAAAAAAATTAAAGCTCAAGTCAATATCAATTTATGTTGGTTTCTACTCACATCATTTAGTAATCATCAGTTTGTGTTTAAATCTGCACCGATCGTACATATTTATAATTAAGATTCACTAAATTTCTTCAGCCTGGAACCGAGTCTGTAAGTTATACACTTTAATTTGGACAAAACTACCCAAATAAAATCCATGCTTAGGGCAACATATTTAGAACTGCATTATTTCAGTTCGATTATTTTACTGCTCCTTAAAATTATCTCTTAATTAGTTGGTTAAACATCCAAAAGTATCAAACCTTGCACCGCGACTCTTTCAAAAAAATTTTGTTTTTCATTGCTGGAATGAAAACAATAGCATCAGAAGAATCAATAAGAAAACAAGGATAGCCGTTTACTGTACAAGTAGCATAGAATGTTCCGACCACATTCATAAAAAAAACCAAAAAAAGGTATTTTTTTTGCGAGGTGTGATGAGATAACTGTACAAACAAGTAGAAAATTAGTGTCTTCGAAAAATGAGTAAAAAAGAAAAAATATATATTTCAAGAAAATTTATCTGAATGTTTTCTGCTTTTTTGCAGAATGGTTTTTTGATTCTTTCTAAAACTTACTAAATGAAGTTTCCAAAACTAGCTTTTGTTTAGTAAAGTTATTTGCTACTGAATTTAAAAACTTTTCTTTTAAAAGACCTACTCGGAAATTTTCTAATTGATTTTTCTCGGCACTAGGAAAAGTTTTAACATTTTTTTGTCATTTGAATAACGACTGAAAGTGCCTTAATATGATGTCCTTCGAAATATTCCGATTCTTATTTGTGACACCTTAATTTTAGGAAATTTTTTAACCGGTTTTTCTCGGCACTAGGAAAAATTTTAACATTTTTTTTGTCACTTGAATAGCGACTGAAAGTGCCTTAATATGATATGTCCTTCGAAATATTCCGATGCTTATTTGTGACACCTGATTTTGCAAGGAAATCCAAAAAACACCTCCGAAGAGCTCCAAACTTGCTCCCTTTTTGAATGGTCGGAACAATTAGGAGTCGAAATACATAACATAATACATAGTATGTCCTTACCGTGGCAGTTTGTATAGAATTCAAAACTCCATTATGTTAAATGTTGCATTAGCTGATCTTAATTCGTACCAGCAGCGCGTATCAGAACTCATACCAGTGCCGTCACACCATTATAATTGTACTTCAGGTGCGAGATAGACTGAAGAAGATGGGACTCCTGCAGCCTCTGAATATCTTCTTGAAACAGGAGATAGACCGGATGCAGAAAGTAATCAAGATGGTGAGGTCCACTTGTAAGGATCTGAAGTTGGCCATAGATGGTACCATCATCATGAATGATACACTGAGGGATGCTCTGGATGAGTTGTACGATGCGAGGGTTCCGAACTCATGGAAGAAGGTAAGTTAAAACCTTGTAGTTTTAAAGCTTTCCACAGGCAATTTTCAATATCCAGACATAAAATTAAGCGTAAGGCGACAATTCATAATGGTAGCTCACGCGACAAACACGATTTTACGTGCACTTTACTTGTCGTGCCGTTGTAAGCGCAGCGGAGCTTGCATACACTTTAAATACTTCAATATTTTAAAAAGATTGGGTTTTAAGTGCCAATGAGTGTAGCGAAGAATTTTCTAAAGGTGTTATTTTTTTTTGCTTTTTTTTCCAGTAAAAAGCCTTTAAAGTTGAAAACGCTCAAATTTGACTTTTGTTTCTTGAAATTTTGTTTTTAGTTATTAAGTTGAATGCAAATTCATTGGTTGTAGATAAGCAACAGCTTCATATTGCATCGAGACTTTTTGTGAACAAATCGAGACGCAGTGTCGAGATTTGAACAAATTTCAAGATGCAATAAGCTGTTGCTTATCTGGTATGAAACACGCAAGAAAAATTTGAACAAAACAGACTCATTTGAAAAAGTTTTCAAGCTAACACGTAATTTTTACGTTTTTATTTTTTATTCTTTTTGCTCGCTTGCTATAGGAAAAGTGTTGCACTATTGTTTCAAATATTACACTAATTTTTCAAATATGGCACGAAAACATACTGCTCACGTGTACAGTGCTGATTTAAATTAACCGGACAAAACGCGTTAAACTTGAAATTTAAAACGCGTTTTTCTCAAATTGGGTCGACTTTAAGTGAAAACTTTTGGAGACAAAACTTGCTCAAAATTTCAGCAAAGTTATTATGGTGTAACTTGTTTTGCAAAATTCGGGCCCAAAATTTTACCCCAAAAATGGGTCATTTTGGCTTTTCTTAGTTAATTAAAAATTACGCCGAAAGTAACGAGTCAATCTCAGACATAGTTATATCAAAGTGAGCCCCTTACGTAGCCAATTAAGAAGGGTATATTCTCCAAAACTTTGTATAAGTTAATTTGTTCTTGTTGATAGACAAAAAAGTCGTTTTTACTATATAAAATACCAACTTTTTGTTTAAAAACAATTTTTAAACGGTTTGCGAATATTTTTTGGAGAATATACCCTTCTTAAAGTTTGTTGGGCTACGTAAAGGGCTCACTTTGATATAAATATGTCTGTGATCGACTCGTTATTTTCGGCGTAATTTTTGATTAACTAAGAAAAGCCAAAATGACCCATTTTTGGGGTAAAATTTTGGGCCCGAATTTTGCAACACAAATTACACCTTATGAATTCTGCTAAAATTTTAAGCAAGTTTTGTCTCCATAAGTTTTCACCTAAACTGAACCCAATTTGAGAAAAACGCGTTTTAAATTTCAAGTTTTGCTCGTTTTGTCCGGTTTATTTAAATCAGAACTGTATTTTATCTAAAAATAAAACAAATTACGCTTTTCAATCACGAAACTATAAAGGAGAAAAAATTTAGTTTTCACATTTCTCAGCGGATTTTTAAAACGAACTACTGATTCAAGTTTCTGTAATTGGGCTACTTTTATGAAAAAGATGTTGGTTATAAAAGATTTTTGAAATTTAAAAAGCTTAAACGCCATATATTTTTTCTTAAAATTTGGAAAGTTTTTTTTTTTAAATAATCGATCATTTTTCCTTTTTCTTTGAGTTCGTTGAGACTTTTTTTGCGATTTCAATTTAAATAGATCGGATTATTTGAAAAGAAAACGACCTTGAATTTGATTGCCAGAAGAAGGCGACTCAGTCAACAAAACATCTCAGTTTGGAGTGTGGACAAATAGCAGAAACGGATATCTTTAGACATTCTTAACAGCTTTTGATCGATCTTCTGCAATTTGCAGAAATAAAATAATATTTGGATGGATCAATTTCACTCTAGGCTCCTTATATTACCCGAAAGGCTCTCCCAAAACAATAATTTTAACCAGAAGATTAGCAATAATGAAGATAGACTTTGGATTTTTCTAAGAAAATTTCCTCGAGATTAGAATGGGAACTTCGAGAAATTGTGACATGGTATCTTTGCTTGAGTTATTAAATTTTGAGCACCTTAATATTTTATAATTTTCAGTAGCTTCTCGTCAATTAAAGATATTGTTCCAATTACTTCACCCTGATGATTTGTTTTAGATCTCGTGGAGCAGTGCGACAATTGGGTTCTGGTTCTCGGAGCTGCTGGACAGGAACACCCAGTTCCACTCTTGGTGCTTCCAGGGAAGACCCAACTGCTTCTGGCTTACAGGATTCTTCAATCCTCAGGTCAGCTAAAAACCGAGATTGCCTCCCTAATTTTTCTGACAAATATTTTCTTTTTTGATAAACACTGCTTGTTTTTTGTGCTTCCAAAATTTTAAAATTTCAATTAACTGAAGTTTTCAAGATTATTTATAGCCGCTAGGCTGCTGAAATTTTCAAATTGTAACATAAATGTCTTATTGCTTAAATGATGCATTTTGCAGACAAATGGAGGTACAGAAAAACAGTTTGATGTATTTCAAATCCGGAAAATTGGCAGTTTTAAAGCATAGTTTCGTTACTGATTTCAAAAAATAACAGTCTGTTTTCAAATTTTTTTAACCGACTAATTGATGGTTTTCAGGGATTCCTGACAGCCATGAGGCAAGAAATCACCCGTGCCCACAAGGGATGGGCCCTGGATTCAGTCGTGCTTTGCAACGACATGACCAAAATGATGCGGGAAGATGTGACTGCTGGACCAAGTGAGGGAGTCTACATCTATGGATTGTATCTGGACGGAGCAGGGTGGGACAGAAGGAACATGCGGCTGACTGAGGCACAGGCCAAAGTGCTCTACTCACAACTGCCCATTGCTCATTTGTATGCCATCAATACCACTGCGGCCAAAGATAACAAGTGAGTTAACTAGATTAGATCTGAACAAATAATGTTTCACATCTGTTTTTTGAAAGTATGAGCTGAATTGATTTCAAAAATGCTCCTTATTTACTGATTATTTTCTGGTTGGTTCCAAAACTGCGTACAAAATATTCTTCTTCCAAAATGCAGTAAAACGAGTGACAGTCACTGGTTACTTTTAGAAAGTTGGAAAAATAAATATAATTTTTTTGCGCTCCACGGAAGTTACACAGCGGGAGTTGAAGTGAATGTAACTAGCTGCATCCTTTTTAGCACGTCTGCCAAAGAGCGAGAAGAGCCCAAGAAAGTTGCTTATCATATCCCCATCACCAGTTTCATAACCATGCTTGCTATTCGTTCATTTTTCTAATTCCTTTCCGAAGCGAAAAAGATACACCAGAAAAGTTTCGTGGTCCTTTCTACAGATCTCTTAAACTATTTCACCCCCTGGGGTACCTGGTAACGAATTGCCACCCCTATAAAAAAATAAATTCAATGGTTGAGCATAAGTAAATTTTGTACCTAGTAACGAATCAATTCCCCTTTTGCAAAAGGGGGGTGTAGTCAAAGAGATCCATTTCTACTGAATAGAAAATATCTTTCTTCTTTGAATGGAAAAACAAGAGTATCAGCTTTTCATTTTCTTAGATTGAGGGGGGGGGGATAAGGGGGGAATAAATTGTGGTACACCAAATTTTTTCCAAATATGGTCGACAAAGTTTTTCAAAAACTGCCCCCCATCGTCAAAAAAGTTCCTGCGCGCGCCCACTGAACCTTAGATAACTTGATAACACGATGTGTTGTTTCAGACTGTACGCGTGTCCTGTGTACAAGAAGCCAAACAGGACGGACTTGAACTTCATCTTCCAACTGAACCTGAAGACCCAACAGCTCCCAGACCACTGGATCTTGAGAGGAGTAGCACTGCTGTGCGACATCAAATAAACAGACAACCGATAAACAACAACAGTGACAAACTAAAAATATATCAGGAAAAAGAAACAGTTCATTGAGCAGACTGATTAATGTAAACTATAATCATAACATAACACATGGAAGTTTCGGTTAGAAATTGAAAGAAAAAAATGAGTTATTCTTCAGAAACATTATCATCTACTTGCGATTAAAACATCTGTAAACTCATCAAAAATGGTGTATATATTATATCATTTTAATTACTCATTGACATTGAGTAGTGTATATAGTCGAGGATTAATACACATGCAAGTCGCATTGTCGTTTGGACATCCTTTGATTGTAAATTTATCGGGTTTGAAAGAGTGAAAAAAAATGATTTTGGTGTGCCCTGAATGAGACGAAATAATACAGCATGCATAATCAATTTGATGTAAATACCTGTAAATAAACATTCATTCACAGCAATTTTGTTATAGGAACTGGACCAAAAGTAGAATAGGTCAAAAATTACAACAGCTGAAAGGGTAGAAGACAGAACAGATCCAAAAGCAGAGCTGTTCCAAAAGCAGTTTTGGCCAAAAAGCTGGCTTTTTACCAATCTATTCCCTAGTTTTGTTTTCTTTTGATTCTCACCTGCCAATGCATCGCTGCTTTGTTATAGTTGATGAAGTGGCAAAACACAGGTTGTATGAAAAAGGCAATTTCTCCTTTTAGACAAGCGACTGAATCTCAATCAATAAAATCAATCACAATAACTTCGAGTGTTAAGTACAACAAACTTGTTAATTTCTTTATGCAATATTCTTTTTCGTCCTTGAACTTGAATTCAATCAGATGTGTTAGTACAAAACGAAGGCGAAGCAATAAGCAGAATGGTCCAAAAGCAGAAAGGGTTCAAGAGCAGAAAAACAGAAAAATATTGACTTTTTTTAGTTTATATGAGCTAATTGATAAATTTTTTCAGAATTCTTAAAAACACTCAGAAAATGCATGCATAATTTAAGCATAGTTTCATTCGGTTTTTTGATTGAAATTTTTTAAAAATCTTGATTAAAATGATCAAATTATGCATAAAATATTCGTTTGTTTGGCAATATTGACAATTCTAATGATTAATTTACCGATTAGCTTGTAAAAACAACTAATATTTTTCTGTTTTTTTGCTCTTGGACCGATTCTGCTCTTAGACCATTCTGCTTATTGACTGGTCACCGTACAAAACGCATGTATTACCTTACTAAAATTTGTTAAAAATAACACGTCAAGTACTTCCTATTTTAAGTATCTACTAGATAACCTCCCCCTCTATCAAGAAAGGGGAAGATTGTTAAGGCAGATTAAAATTGTCAAAATTGGGACCAATCAGAATGCCTCAAAATTAGATTTCGCAATAGAAAGCTTGGTGCTAATTTACTGTATTTGTTCATAGGGGTAGAAATTTTTAATAAGATAAATAAAAAGAGGAGATTGTTGAAAAAATCTTTATTGAATTTTACAGTTTTTCGAGAGAAGCCCTGAAAAACCTTGGAAGAAATAAATTGAAGTGTGGGAGTTAACGTGCAAGTAGTTTAAAGAAGTAAACCAATTCAGTTTTTGTTTTTGCTTAAATAAAGAACGCTTATCTTTTAATGCAAAGCCACCAAATTTTCCAATCAAACAGTGCGGTACAAGATCATTGAAAGCTAGGAAACGGTAAAACTTATTAATGGTCACCTCAGTTGATCTTTTTTGGTTCTTGTTAGCATGTATCGCAAGTTAGGCATTTTCTTGCAATGAGCGTAATCTGTTCTTTTTCTTGCCTTGAAATGAAAAATGAAATAATCAGATTTAAATCAACTAGGGATTTTCAAGATGGATGTATTTGTAGTTAGAGCGAAAGTAAAAAGACACATTAAAATTATTTACGACGCGGTCAGATATATACTCGTCTATGTAATTTAACGTTTCTTCAATTATTTCCGATGACAAAACTTGAATTATAGGACAACAATTTGTTGAATTCCAAATAAAAATATCCAGGAATATTTAGAATAATCGTGAATTCTTGAATACTGAAGGAAAATTTTTGATAAAACGTAGAGCAAGTATTTAATTGTGCATAACTTGAACAATTAATCTGAAAAAATGTCCAAAAACTGTTCTTAAAATTTTTTGCTGGGAGAGATGAATACCCCACAAATTTTCAAGATCAACAAAATAAGTCTTTTTTATCTTTGTCAAAGTAAGTTTCCGAAGACATCTGATATAAATTGACTATTGGAATCGAAGAAAAATGAGACGTGCCGAAGATGCGAAGTGACAATTGAAAAATTAATTTTGCATAGACATCTAGCTTTAACCAATTTTCAGTCTTAAAACTGAGCAATCGAACTTCAAATTTTTTGTGTTGTCAAAGTAAGTTGTCAAACTAAGTTTCCGAAGACATTTGATGTAAATTGACTATTGGAATACAGTGCTGATTTAAATTATCCGGACAAAACGAACAAAACTTGAATTTTCAAACGCGTTTTTCTCAAATTGGGTTAAGATTAGACAAAAACTGAAGAGAACAAAAGCTTAGAATTTCACCAGAATTAATATGGTACCATTTTTTCTCCGAAATTCTCAACAAAAATTTTACCCCAAAAATGGGTGATTTTGGCTTTTTTCAATTAATCAAGAATTACGCGGAAACTACTTTGTTAATTGATAAGAAAATTATATCACAAGAAGCCTCTTACGCAGCTCAACAAGGTTTAAGGAGGGTTAAATCTCCAAAAACCAGTATAAGAGATAAAAATTTTCACTTGATAGTCAGTAAATGTGATTTTTACTATATAAAACCCAGAATATTTTAAACAATTTGGGCAAATTTATGGAGATTTAACTTTTCTTAAACTTTGTTGAGCTGCGTAAGAGGCTTCTTGTGATATAATTTTCTTATCAATTAACAAAATAGTTTCCGCGTAATTCTTGATTAATTGAAAAAAGCCAAAATCACCCATTTTTGGGGTAAAATTTTTGTTGAGAATTTCGGAGAAAAAATGGTACCATATTAATTCTGGTCAAATTCTAAGCAACTTTTGTTCTCTTCAATTTTTGTCTAATCTTAACCCAATTTGAGAAAAACGCGTTTGAAAATTCAAGTTTTGTTCGTTTTGTCCGGATAATTTAAATCAACACTGTAGAAGAGAGATGAGACGTGGCGAAGAAGCAAAGTGATAATTGAAAAAATAAATTTTGCATAGACATCTAGCTTTAACCAAATTTCAGTCTTAAAAATGAGCAATCGAAATTCAATTTTTTCTGTTGTTGCCGCCGCTTGCACAATTTGTTACAATAAGCAATTGTTTCGCATAAAAAAATCAAAATGCACCTCAATTTTTTTTTAAAGATGTTTGTCTTATTTTTATCATAAACGGATTACGGTAATCGGCGTCTCCAATGAACGCGTCGGGGTAACATCTGTCTTGCAAAGTTGACATATTTGCCTGATAAAAATTTGTATACATCCACTACCTATTTATGAACAAACCAAAAGTTTTTTTTACAAACTTTAGCGTCCTCATTCACAGTTTGAGGGATAACATATGGTTTGACAAATTTAACTTGTTTTTCTGCAAAAGTTGTTGTTCATGTTACTGCTTTGCTCAATTTAACAAATATGAACAATTGCTCACAAAAATTCCCACATACTGGGCGGTGTTCCAAAGACGACACATTTGTCGAAAAAACATGGTCAAAATTGTGTCTTTATCTATATTTGGGAGACCTCTATGTCTTTTTCTGTCTTTAAATGTATTTGGGAGACCTCTATCTGTCTTCTTCTGTCTTTATCTGTATCTGAGCTTGTAGCGTTTATTATAGCTCCATTTTAAGCTCGAAAGCTGTTTGTATGCTTTGATCGTGTACTGTCTGCATAATTGGCTTAGGATATATTGTTTGAAAAATTCGACCACCTGCTGTTTCTTATTGTGTTTTTTTCTCTTTCTTTGACAAACTGTTTTTTTTTTTCACGTGAAACCAAATGCAACCGTACAGCCTTTTTACTATCCGTAAAATTTTTTGCTCCGTGCCTTTATTCAATTGCTAAAGCGACATACATATATTTGTAGCCACACAAGTGTTGTAACAGTTTGTGCTACCGTTTTCATTCAGTTACAAAAAAAACATTTGAAGTACAAATAAGCAGTTAGTCGCACCAAGAAAATAAATACGCTTACAAAAATCTAGAATTCTTCTATCAAAAATGGGAGATCAATACAATTCTGATTTCAAAAACCCGACTGCTCCACAAGCGCAACAGGACCAACAATCTCCCCCTGCCTACGCCTCGGCTACAGTGGCCCCCATGTACCCAACTAATTCTCCATCCCCTAACCCGTACGGCAACGCTCCGCCGTATCCTACTAATCAGCAAAGTAAGTCAGGGACACCTTTATTTAATTTTAAATTTGACAGATTTTTGTTTTTAGTATGTTGCCCTCTCAAAACATGGGTGTTTTAGTCCCGAGGCGCTTTTTGAACAATTTTAGGATCGGTGAACCAAAAACGGAGGTAGATACACAGTGAAACATAAGGAAAGTGAAACCTATAATTGCAATCATAATCAGAAATCAGTAGTGGATTGCTTGATATGCAAGAAATAGATGGATTGATATGCAATTGAGTTCCGGTTAAGTTTTCAGCAGATTGGAGCAACAAGAATTTTTGTTATTTCACTGACTAATTTGAAGCAACAGAAGTGAAGCACACTGTCGGGCTCTACTGTTTCCTTCCATCATACATGAAATTAATGATACGGTTTGACTATTGGTATACAGGGTTGTATATGCTGACCAAAATTAGTGTCAAATTGGTGATAAACTTAAGTTCCTTTTTTCATAGACATTATGAGCAAAAAAAAAATATTTTCACTTTCTTCGTACAGTAAACGAGTCTAATATCAATACAAGTAGCCATGCATTTTCATGTGTTACAGGCCAGCAGCAGCATCCGCAGGCTAATTATGGGGCTCCTCCTCCCCCTGCTCCTGCTGTATACCCGCCATACCCAGGGCAAGGTAAGAATACTTGTATGGACTTTTTTGTGTTTTTTATCTCAATAATTTTTCTCAAAGCGTACAATCATCGATCACAGGCATCCAATGGGTGCCTGTTAACGACCATCCTAAATTGTTCAGAAACTTCGATAATGAAATTTTTTGCTAAAATGACTATTTTACTAACCAAAAAGCAAAATCTCAAAATTTAGTTCAATCCGTAACCCATTTGTAAAGACTAACAGACTGGTGCAAAAAGTCGAGCACTAAGGTTAGTTAAGGAGAAGCGTGGTATAATGGACCAGAAGCTGGATCTAAAAGAGCTATTACTAACAAGCAATGACATCGTTCAGGGTTTTATAACAGCATTAGTTGGTAGAGTTTCCTTTTCAGGCTTTGCTATAATAGTATGATAACTGGCTTGTTTGTTAGGGTACCCTCCTCCTGGCTATGGAGTAAATGGGCAGCAACCTCCAGTCGTTGTGGTCCAGCAGGCACCACGATTGGGTAAGTAAGATTTATAATAAATGCCAAATTGTTGGCAATATCTTTTCGGTCAGCGAAACAGAACGAAATTGATTAACCTAAATCTGCTCATTTTGACGGCGAGTTTTTGCGTTTCGCTGTTTTTTTAAAAAAAAATTGATTAACCTAAAAGCTGTAGTTTTTGACCAATTAATTTGCTCAAGCTCACCGATATTGCCAACAATTTGGCTTTAACTACAGCGCTGAATTAAATTAACCAGACAAAACGCGTTAAACTTGAAATTTGAAATGCGTTTTTCTCAAATTGCGCTGAGTTTAGGAAAAAACTTATGATAACAAAACTTGCTTAAAATTGTGGCAGAATTCATAAGGTGTAATTAGTTTTGCAAAATTCGGGCCCAAAATTTTACCCCAAAATCGGGTCATTTTGGCTTTTCTTAGTTAATCAAAATTACGCCGAAAATAACAAAACGATCACAGACATATTTATATCAAAGTGAGCCCCTTACGTAGTTCGACAAACTTTAAGAAGGGTATATTCTCCAAAAAATATTTGCAAATCGTTTAAAAATTGTTTTTAAATAAAAAGTTGGTATTTTATATAGTAAAAACGACGTTTTTTGTCTATCAAACAAGAACAAATTAACTTATACAAAGTTTTGGAGAATATACCCTTCTTAGAGTTTGTTGGGCTACGTAAGGGGCTCACTTTGATATAACTATTTCTGTGATTGACTCGTTATTTTCGGCGTAATTTTTAATTAACTAAGAAAAGCCTAAAGGACCCATTTTTGGGGTAAGTTTCAAGTTTAACGCATTTTGTCCGGTTAATCTAAATCAGAACTGTATATAATGTGATGAAGCCCAATTTTAAAAAAATCCACAATTTATTACCAAGAGAAAAACACTAAATTCGATTTTTCAAATTTTTATGACAAACGCTGCTGTTTCCATGATTAAAATGTGCTTGCCTTTTCCCTTGGCCAAAAAGTTTTAACAAGAGGAAAAAATGCGTGATTAATAGCATGTTTTCTTTTAAACTTGTCAAATGACCAGGTTTTTTAGCTCATGTTATGTTTCTATGGAAAAAGTTTTTTGCTGGGGAAAGTACCAAAAATAACAAGACCTATGAAATTTGATCAGTCTCACCTATTTCGTAGCAGAGTCGCAAAAAAGTGATTTGAAAGTTGATCATAATTCAAACTTAGTTTTTAGTGCGGTTTTGTTTTTGAATTTTTGAGTTTAACCTTAATTTAGTTTGCCAAATGAGAGACAAGTGAAAAAATAGCAAAAAAAACGCATTAGTTTTTGTCAGATAGATAGGGTTAATCAGAAAGGGGCTTATCTATTTTCTCAGATAGGGTTAAACCTGTTTTCAAAGATTGTGTTAATTCGCAGATAGGGTTAACTTTTTTTTTCAGATAGGGTTAATTTGGGTAGAATTTTTTCATATAGGAACAATTCTTTTTTTTTTTTCAAAATTGAATGATGAGAAACTGAAAACTTGGAGGAGTATCAATAGATGTAATTTTTTTGTAGAATTTTCTAGTTTGAGTCATGGATAGCTGTAACAGAAAACATTTAAGAAAAAGAAAGAGCTGTTCTGTTTAAGTTACTTTAATGAATGATAGGATACTTTATTTAGCCCACATACAGTAAAAACGAAAAAAATATCAATAATGCTGGAGTTTTGTGGTCTGAATTGTTACCAAAACAATGGATTCCCATGCTGCCCTCAGACAAAGAATTAAATAAGATATCGCTTATAATCTCATTTTCATAATCAAAACTTTAATAGTTATTATCCATTTAGAAAAACTTAAATTGTTTTTTTTCCTTTTTAATTTTGTTTCGCGCTGTAAAACAATGTTGCCAGAATTTCTGCATTCATCAAATGATTAATGCAGAAATTTTGCAAAATGAGTGTATGTTTAAAAACATACAATTTTGTCCACCCCTAATTTTCTTCTCACCTCAACCCACTTTCCTCCCAAAGGCTCTGAATAGATTAGGAAAATGGTTGCAGGCAAAAAATTGAGTAACATAAAGTGAGTAACAAAAATGAGTAACTGATAAAAGTAGCTTGGAAAAAACTGAAATTGAACAACAAGCAAACATTTTCAGTTTAAGACGACATTTTTTACGTTGAAAACCGCATCTCAGTAAAGTGGAAAACACGACAATAATAAAAAAAGTTTCATTGCTTCAGTCTATTGAATTTTAAAAAGTGATTATAACTGTAAGGAAACAAAGACGACTTTTTGGCAACGAACAAAGTATGAGATTGAATTTTCTCTATCTCCAGACTAGAAAAAGGCTTTTATGGAGAAAGCGGAGGAAAACATTAAATGAAAAATTGGAGAAATTAGTTCCCGAAAAGAACTCGAAATCTTTTGTTTGTAGACTAGAGCTTTTTCTGAGGAGAAAATAGACTGTAAATGAATTCTCCGCAGGAAGATTGAACTCAGCAGAGACTCTATTTGTAAAGATGCATTTTTTCTGATTAAGTATTTGTACTATAAGAGTAAAGATAGAACTTTGTCGTTTTTCAACTCCTTTCAAGCAAAGAATATAAAAACCATGCTTTAACTTTGAAATTTTAATTTTTTTATAAAGTTTCTCTTAAAAAAAAGATAGTGTTTTTTTTATTGTTTTCTTTTTTTTTTCATTTGAGTTTGAAATTTGGTTGCTGCAACTTCCGCGACAACAAATAACTTTCATACAGGTGAACAGTTTTTTGTTATGGAACACTGCGACTTCCGCTGTTATCAACCTGCAACTGAGAATGAGTTCGAATCCTTAACTGCGACTTTCAAGGTGTTGCGTCTCACATATCAGAAACTATCTGTTTAAGTATTGTAAGTATGGAGTTCATGGTTCTATCAGGCTCTCAATAAGCGCTACTCTGTCTTCCGCGGTGTAAATACAGTTTTTTGGTGCAAGACTTGGTGCAATGAAAATACAAACAATATTGCGCTAGTTTTTAATTTTTATGAAAAATTATTGCATACATAGATCAAAAAAAGGCGGGGCCGTAGGGAATATATATCAAAAAACAAAACGAAGATTAAACCATAAAGCGGACTACATGTCATCACTAAAAATTTGTATCGATTAAAATGATAATAGAGGGAGGGAGAAAGTGTAAGCAACCAACTTAATTGCAATCACATACTTTGTGGATATATAACTATAAAATTGATTAAGATGAAAAAAACAATCAAAAAATTCTCGGCACACTATTAATTAAAGGCTTGCAACCAAGATTAACTAGTAACCCAACTAGAGACGCAGCTAAATCACAGACCTGGATATTCTATTTTCACAAGTTTTGCTCGTTCAGCTGAATCATTAAGTACTGCTATCAGATCATCATGGTATAACCTTTTACATATGAGAAGCTTTGATTGAAAAAGAACAAAATGATTTTTCACGTTAAAAAAGTTTTACAGACCCTTCAAAAGACTTCAATTGAAAAATTTACGCATATTCTAAATTAAACGATCAGCTACGAATGAAATAATACCAGAAAAAAAAAATTTTCCTTCCTAATCACAAGAATTGCGTGAGCAAGAGGAAAAAAATTTTGAAACAAAATTTGAATGAAAATCTGTAGGAGCTTGGGAAGTTTTTAACAAAACAAAAAAAATATAGGAAAAATGTTAATCAAAACAATTAAAACCACTTACTACGGAAACAAAAAATACCAATGAAAGGACAGTGCATAAAGTTTGCTCCAACCAAAGAAATTGATGGTGTTCTCACTAAGCAGAGAGTAGAGTTCGATCCCGTCAAAAATAAACAGTACTTTGTGAATATAGGGGAAAACTAGCAAAAAACAAATACCTCGAACAACCTGCAATTTGGATGTTAACGAGACCACTTCGAACAGTTTATCAGCTAAAAACGATGTCGCACGTACCTTTATTGATTTGTTCAAAGCGCTGATCACTCAATTCTTCTTGAAAAGTGTTGATACTGAATTGTTCGATAATTGTTGAAATTTAAGATAGAGCGTGGCGTGCCGAAGGGTTTGGTTCTTGGTCTCCATCGCTCCTGCTTTCTATGAACGATATTCTTAAACTCTGTACCAATTAGAAAATATCCGTTTTTGCAGATGACACAACATTGTTTGCCTCTGTTCAAGATGAAGGCAAATTATTAACGACGAAGTACTGCGCGTTTGGTTCGGGATGGAGAGCATTAAGCTCGAAGTAAATGAAGGTACAAGTAAAGTTCACCAATTCAAGCCAAAATTAAACTCCAAAATCAGAGTGGAAAACGTTAAAACTAACATACAAAATGAAAAATCCAGGGGTTACATTTGACATTTTACTAAAATAAAAAACAAAGAATCGATTGTTCTCGCGCACGGGAAAAATGTATTACTACAAATTGTTTTCAGTCAGAATTCTCATTTAAACTTATATAAAGCACTGCACAAGTTTTTACGAACTCTCATTAACGTAAAAAACGGACTCGCTACGAATCTACGAATAGTGAAAAACAAATACAAAATAATTAATTGTTGAGAACTTCACATAAATGAACTAATGAAAACATTAACAAAATAATGAGAAAAGAACACACTTTTGACAGTATTAACGATTGTTTTCATGTGAATGGGCTTGGGCCCTGGTTTTAGAGTCTATTTGAAATAAAGAACGTAGGACAAAGACAAAAGCCGATACATATCAAAAAAGACAATTAGCTTCAGGATTAGAAGTTTTTTAAATTGTTTGATAAAGTTCGATAAAACAAATTTAAAGGCGTCACTCGACAGGTTAAACGCATTTGACGTTTTCCCAAAAGTATTTTTATTGCACATAATTGGGAACTATTGTGTAAAATGACAACTTATGAGTTTTTTTTGTAAATGAAATGATGTGGGAACGCCAACTTACCCAATTTTTACTCTTATTTGACACTTTGTAACTGAATTTACCGATCTCAAAAATACAAAAGCATGAAGCCATATTAATGAACTGGTCTTTTTCTCAAGGCCATGAACCCTGCAACATGAAGTGTCCTCACTGTCATGCCAGCATACAGACTACAGTTGACTATGAAGTGTCAATGGGCACTTGGCTGATGTGTCTCATCATTTTTGGAGTGGGATTTCTGGTCACTCTCGTCTTCCTCATCGGATTCGTGTGAGTTTAGAGTGCATTATATACTTGGAGAAACTCCTAAATGTACCTCTAAAGAATATTATAGATGGTTGGTCTCATATGGAATATTTGTTACAAAAAGAAATAACGCAACCTAAAAGGTTGTAGGACATTCTTAGTTTGTCTAAATACAGCTTTTGTGTATAATTTTTTTTGTACTCTGTATTTCAGTAACGTGTTTTAAGTAAAGGGAGCGGCTTCTATGCATTCTGGCATCCAAATTTTATCTAAAGGGAACTTTTGCGACTATTTGTGGGATAAAATTAGGGATAATGATTGGGATAAAATTATTGCAAGTTGGCAGAAACTTTCAAACGGGCCCAAATTAAACTAATTTACTTAAAAGTCAAAAAGAGGGGCTTCGAAATGTAGCGAAACCAGACCGACTAAGAGAGGAAACAAATTTTGTAGTAAACGTCTAGAAGATTGTTTTCGATATGTTTTCGAAATGATTGTTTTCGAGAAGATTGTTTTCGAAATGATTGTTTTCGAGAAGATTGTTTTCGAAATGAAACTCGATCGATGGTAAATTGAAAACTTGAGAGTTATGAAAGGCGTGCAAGAAAATGTGTATGAGAAAATGAAACGGAATGAAGTCGACTCAAACGACTAATTTACTTTTGAAGAAAACGAAATATTAGCAAGGCATTATCGGAGAATTTTTTTAACAAAAAAAAATGATTTTCTTTTTCGATTGCTGAATTTTTTTGCTAAGTATTGAGTGACAGTGGAAAAAGAAAAAAGTGAGAGCGGGTTAGGAGACAAAGAGAAGGAGCAAAGGAACGAAAAAAAATAGAATTTTCGGAAACGATGGGTTTCAGCGAATCCCAAATTGGGCGACAAAGAGAAGGAGCAAAGGAACAAAAAAAATGGAATTGCGGAAACGATGGGTTTCAGCGTAATAGCAACATTCAGGTCAGAGAAGGATATGAATTGCAATCGGTGCTGCCGCCGGATGTGGCTAGACATATTTCTCCAGAGTCAGAAAAGATGGGAGAAGAGGATCCGGAAAATGTGGTTAAAATGTGATCGGGACAATGGGGGCGTTCAAGGAGTTACGGCGAAGGTGCCACCGGATGAAGACGGAGGTTTAGTGAAAAATAATTTGATCTGAACAGCAAATAGCCTGAGACGGGGAAAAAGAAGCAGGAAGAAAGCTCTGAAAAGGAGCGAGGAAGAGGTAGAAAACTACCGGGAAGACAAAACAGATTTCGCGAGGACAGAACAAAGAGTATTGAGCAAACACAGGTTTGTTGAAATCCGAAAAGAGAAGACGAGAAAAGCGCACTAAGATGAAGAAGGCTTTGAAATAGAAAAGAAGTAACAGCAGAAACAACAGAGACGCAGGTTTTGAGACCAGATAAATCGAGCATGAAAAAGTTAAGTACGGCAACGGGATCGTACGAACAGGAAGATGAGATAACGGACAATATGAATGCAAACTAAAATTGGCATGGGAGTGACACTTTATCAACACAACTACGAATGACGGAATATGAAGCCCATACAGAGTCGGCGAGACAGACAAAGTGGAATACGTTTAGGGAAAATACGAAACAAAACGATGACAAGATTCGGCAATCCTATATCTTCATCATTACCCAAATTGATTAACTATGCGAAAAAGTGGGCGTGCCTGAATGGAAAGATGATCAGGATATACTCTTGCATTCTAGAACAGAAAAACTGAAAGGCAAAGTCGTCAAATTGGCTAGTAGCCATGTAGCAGGGGATCTTAGAAAGCGGGCTATTATTCGGTTGTTAATTGTCATCAAGGACGACATTCTCTGCGGCAGCACAACTGAACTTGAAAGCAGGGTGCAGAAGGCACTATACAGAAAAAAGCTTGCAACAACAAGTGAGCAAAACTTTTGGGCCTCAGTATTGCTACATGCAGTGAGGTCAAACTTTTTTGAGAGATGTCTTCTCGCACCGAAGTTTCATGGGTCATAATCGATTATAATGGATTTTCGTTGTCCAAAATGTTGTCAATATAATCGATTATCATGTCAAATTTAGACCACGTAATCGATTTTTTACATCGCCAAAACAGGAGTTCAGAAATCTGCCGAGTTTTTCATGGCCCGATTCTTGATTAGTAAATTGAAATGGATGACTACTTTGATCATACCTGATCTATCGAAAAGACTCAACGATGTGCTGAATCTTCTAAATAAACATCTCACATGAGCAGTATTTAGGGCCCTGAATAATGTAGTCAGGTTTTACAAACAGCGTTTAATCCAATCCATGTTATTTAGAAAACTAAGCCGGACTTTACAAATCGAATTTTATGAGAACGCCACTTAGAAACACAGATCTGTCATGGGACAGGTCATGAAAGCTTGGCAGAAGGATGCTGAGAAACTGGCAACTATGATTTGGCAATACTTTTAAGAGTCATATGCCGTGAGAGTCACAAGTGAAGAATGCATTTATAGGAAAACGATCCTTGGGGATATGGAACGCAGACACAAGTTTGTTAGATTCAAGATGCAGATGGCGACAAAATCGGCGAAGCTTGTCAAATTTCCACGGACAGACATAGCCATGTGGTGGTCCATAATTCAGTGGAGAGAATTAACTTATTCTGTTTACCGACGCAGATGATGTTTCCTGATTGCCTGACAAAAGCGATGAGTTGAAAGTATTTATCAGAAGTAATGGAGGATGGACGACTCCGATTCTTATTTTTGAAAGCTGAGAAAATGTAGCAAATGATTGAGCTGGAAAAGATTTTGAGGGCTAAAACGCTGATTATGGCCTGAAAAAGTTTGAGTCATCTGCAAATTGTGTTGACCTGAAAAGAAAACTGACAGACCTGCAAAATTGATTGACCTGAAAACGAAATTTGAATAACATGCAAAAATGATTGACCTGAAACAGAAGTTTGATTACACGCAAAATTGATTGTCATGAAAAAGAATGTTGACATGCTTGCAACATTGATTGACCTGAAAAAGGGTTCTGTTTAGAAAATTCGATAACTAAATGGAAATTTTCATTAATCCGAGCCTGTTTAAAATAGTTTTTTAAGCGCAAAATGGCATTGTAAATGTTGGTAAAAAAGCTCGTTTTAATTAAGTAGAAAAATTATTTTTAATGACACATATAATAACTTGCTTGATGATAACAAGAGTGTAGGAAAAATTGTTGTCAAGTGTAAGTATAGTGTTTTTTTCTACCTTAATTTGGTTTTGATTAGCGTTTGATTTTTTGATTAGCAACCGATAAAAAAAAACGAACGAAACGTATTTAAGTATTACAGGCGCTTGTAAGCGGGCTGAAAATTCCAAGGCGTTCATGGAATGAAATTTCACTTTGTTTTAATTGTTTTCATTTTTACAGTGAATGGAATCTATATTTCAAACAATTTTTTATGATTTTTATGACAAATAATCTCAAAAGATTAATGTTCTGGCTTATGCAAGTATTTTTGTTCGTTAAGTGAAAAATTGTTTGATTAAAAGTATTTGAACTAAGTGAGTTGATTTCAGTGCGTGGTTCTTATGCTGCGTGCCCTGTTGTATGAGAGACTGCAAAGCGGCTGAACACACTTGTCCCAAATGCCACGCTTTCATCTACAGGGCAAACCCTAAATATCTCAGCTGAACAGATGAGAACTGAAGAACTGAACTGCCGGATCTTTTTATAGTATCAGCCCAAAGTCCAAAACAACAAAACTTGGACACAGAAGGCTCGAAATTGCCTAGTTTCAATACAAACAGTTGAAGTGATAGTGTAAGCATGGCAATTCCCGAACTTGCTCTTTTTTGTTTCGAAATTGGCCCGTATTTATATTTGAAATTATAAAACTAAACTTATCAGCAGCGACAGAGTAGCCATAGAATATCAGATCTGGTTAAAAATCTAAAATTGTTTCATTAGTTAAAACAGTTTGAGTGGATTATTAGAGCAACAATCGAATCATCAACTGCAGCAGTATATGTTGTGTATATATGATTTACTGAGCGATCATTGCTGGTTGATTGCTTAGTAATTTATCCTAAGTTATAAGTCTCACCTTAGATCGTCAAGTTGTCTTGACAAAAATTATAGTAGAAACAATTGTTAGAAAAGGTATGAAATAATTAGCTGGTTAAATACAAAGCACAGGGTTATTAGATTATATGAATGAATCGAACAGCTTAAAGAAATATACCTACGAGAAGGATGCTGAGAAACTGGCAACTGTGATTTGGCAATACTTTTAAGAGTCATATGCCGTGAGAGTCACAAGTGAAGAATGCATTTATAGGAAAACGATCCTTGGGGACATGGAACGCAGACACAAGTTTGTTAGATTCAAGATGCATATGGCGACAAATCGGCGAAGCTTGTCAAATTTCCACGGACACACATAGCCATGTGGTGGTCCATGATTCAGTGGAGAGAATTAACTTATTCTGTTTACCAACGCAGATGATGTTTCCTGATTGCCTGACAAAAGCGATGAGTTGAAAGTATTAATCAGAAATAATGGAGGATGGACGACTCCAATTCTTATTTTTGAAAGCTGAGAAAATGTAGTGAATGATTGAGCTGAAATAGATTTTCAGGGCTAAAACGCTGATTATGGCCTGAAAAAGTTTGAGTCATCTGCAAATTGTGTTGACCTGAAAAGAAAACTGACAGACCTGCAAAATTGATTGACCTGAAAACGAAATTTGAATAACATGCAAAAATGATTGACCTGAAACAGAAGTTTGATTACACGCAAAATTGATTGTCATGAAAAAGAATGTTGACATGCTTGCAACATTGATTGACCTGAAAAAGGGTTCTGTTTAGAAAATTCGATAACTAAATGGAAATTTTCATTTATCCGAGCCTGTTTAAAATAGTAATTTAAGCGCAAAATGGCATTGTAAATGTTGGTAAAAAAGCTCGTTTTAATTAAGTAGATAAATTAATTTTAATGACACATATAATAACTTGCCTGATGATAACAAGAGTTTTGGAAAAATTTTTGTCAAGTGTAAGTATAGTGTTTTTTTTCTACCTTAATTTGGGTTTGATTAGCGTTTGATTTTTTGATTAGCAATTGATAAAAAAAACGAACAAAACGATCTTTTGATTGTTCGCTTACATGAAAAATATGATCAAGATGTTCGTTTTTCTTGAACAAAAAGTCCATAAAAGCAATATTGTCTATAAACGCTGTAGATTGTTTTTGAATCAGTTTCAATGTCTTCGAAAGTTTGCCCTACTGAACCTTAGGATATAATGACCTTCTATTCTTCAGGTTTGTTTAACATTATAGGTAACGTTTTCTCTTCCTGGTTACAATATGTGCTATAAGTATTAACTCCTTTTTGTTGTAAATCTTTATCAATTTTGAACAATGTTCATTTTTCAATATCTTCATTTTTATTTGACGATATTGAAATGACACGAGTTGATTTTGGTGCTAGAGTTATAGTTTGGTCCAAAAGTATATTTTGATATCTACTTATGAATGGATAGCTTTTGCTTTTTATATTGCTGATAGCGACTGATACTCCTGGGTACATTTTAAGTTCTAGTTAAAAAGTCGATCGATTTAGTTGATTTAGAGAGAAAGTCCATACCTACTATATTAAGTTTACATCCATCCATGGCCGCAACCCATGCTCGAACTTTTACAACATAGTCACTTTTACTGTCAAAACTAGCGTTAAAATTTGTATATCCTAAGAGTTTAATTTTTTGTCCATTAACAGCAAATGTTTTGGATTGTGCTTTAGTTAGTGTCAACTTATGTATTTTTGCGCATTCAAAATGGGTATCATAATTTAACAGTGAACAAGTTGCTCCAGTATCTACTAAAAATTGGCTTTCAAGGGTGTTATTTTTGTCTTCGACAGGGTGTTGATATAGATTAAAAAACATTTGTGACTTTTTCTCTTGCGGAGACTGTTCTTGTTTAAAGTAAGTTCTTCGCCTTCGTTATGGCTGTAATAATCATTGATTTTGTTGTCACTAAATTGTACCTTAGGATTTCTGTCTCGGCTATTTTCTCTGGATGATGGTTTTGAATCACCTAGAGATCTTGCTTGGTTATTGTAGGATGGAAATTTAATTTCGTTAGGTCTGTTTTGGTGTCGCGTTTGATAATGTCTTGTGAAAATGATCTTCTATTTCGATCGGGTATAGAATTGCTTCTGTTCCTATTTTGATTATAGTTATTTGAGGTTCTGTTGAACGATTTGGGTTGTTTTGATCGTTGAATCTGTTATTGAAATTTCTAGCTCTTGATCCAAAACTTTGAGATCGAGATCTATCGAAACTATTTGTTCTATTATTGAACTGTCTAGGATATGGAACATATGGTCTGGTATTGTTATTCCGCTAATTATAGCTACTGTATCGACTGTTATAACTATTTTTTTCTCGAGGCCTAGATCTATTATAATTGTCTGAAATTTCACAATACTGAGTTGGTTTTCTCTTTTGATCTTTGTGGTCTCTGTATTTAAAACAAACACTGATAGTATGACCTGACCTACAACACAATTTACAAAATCGGTATGGTTTTGTTTGTTTCTGGGTTCATTTGGATTATCATTTATTTTATGATCTGTCATGAGTCCTGTTAACTCCTTAAGCTGTTCCTTTATTCTTTCTACCTCCAACTTATTATCAACACTTGTGGATTCTCCTTTGTGGTCTTTTGTTTCAGGCCTGGCGGGTTTAAGCCGCGTACAAAGAATTCCATTTTCCATGCTGTTCTTTGATCATCATTTAAAGTTGTATTAGGCCATCCACGGTCTAATGCGGTGCTTAACCTTTTTAAGTAGCTTTTAGGAAATTCATCAGGTTGTCTTTTTTTGTTTTCTGCTTCTGTTCGTTTTCTATACTTATCCTTATCATGACTGAATCTATCTATGAAATGTTTTCTTATCTCGTTCCAAGGTAAATTTGCTGCTAATCCCTGATAGCATTGAGCGGCTGGACCTCCTAATTTTGAACCAAATAAAGCTCTTTGTCTGTTATCATATGCGTCCTGATCGCCACCTGCGGCTGCTGGTCTAGTGCCTAGGGAAAATCCTTTTCTCTACTATAGCAAGAAAATCTCTTGCATCTTCATTTGGATCTAAGCCGGTAAACTTTTCCAGAGCTAAATCTGGGTATACTACTACGTTCACCATTTTTGTTTTTTTTACTTAGTTTTTTGTTAACAATAAATAAGAATTTGGATGTGTTGTGTGCTGATCAATTGTAAGGATTGAAATACTGTTTTAAAAGTTTTTGGGAGATTTGCTGTGTTCAATAAATACAAACTTTTGTTGGATAGATTAATAGTGCTGTGGGGCCGGTTAAGCTTTTTTAAGATAGAAGTTATCTCTGGGGTATTGCTGCGGGAGAGAATAGTTAATTTGTGAAAATTTTTGTGTGTGTGTTTGGACAGAATTGTGAATTGATCCTATTGGATGTTGGTGATATATCAAATAGTTTTTGTGGATTTTTTTTTTCAATTTTAGTTTTAAATTATATGCTGTTGTTTTTACTTGATAAAAGTTGGTCATAGCATTCTACATCATTCTTCTGAAGATTATCGTCGAAAAAGACGTATAAATTTCGTGTTTATCGTCGTTAGGGTGTTTTGCTAGAATACTAATATGATTTTTTTGAGTTTTAGTGATATACCATTTAATGTCAGAGCCTTTGTTTCCTACTTTGAGTTTTAAATTAAAACCTTTTTGTGCTGACGTCAATTTTAAAATGTGTTGACATTAGTTTTTTACGGTGTTTGTTTTCTAATTCTTAGGTTTAGTTGTTTTAATTGATTAGTATGTTTTAGAGTAATGTAAACGGCCTAGGAATTGTTGAATATCAACAAAGGATATTAATAATGAAATAAGAAAATAAACAAAAAAAAAATTTTTTGGAAAAAAAAACGTCTAAATTTTTTTTCAAGTTTTTGTTCGCTGAAGCCTTAGCTGAAACGTAAGACATTGCTTATGTGAAGTTTTAGTGATGCCTTTTTTATTAATAATATAATCTAATGCCTTTTTAGTTATTAATTTTTGACTGAAATTTTAACCTGGAACCTAAAACTATGGTATCTGAGGTTGAGTTTTTTATAATGAAATTGTCTAAAAGCTATAGCATACTTTGTTTATGCTTAAACTTGCAAAAAATTGGAGAAAAACGAATCTTTTGATATCTTGAAGCTAGTTTTTGAAATCTCAAACCTAAAACCCTTAAACTTTCTCAAACTCAACGCCTGAAAACAAAAGTTGGTTTTGGATAGCTAGTTTAGTGTAAATTAGAATTATGAACAAATTTGTTTGCGGAAATCTAAGTTTTTGGGGTTGAAACTATGATTTCTAGAACGAAAATTATGGTTTGACCAATTGGTTTTAGATTTTTGTGGGATTGAAAATTTAGGTTGGTATCTCCAATATATTCCTACTCCAGCAACAAAAATTGCCAAAAAGATGAAAATTTTATCCTAAGACGACGAATTTAGTTGTCTGAAACTATAATAAGTTTTAGGGCTCAATCTACACCTTCTAGAAGATTTTTGAGTTTAAAAATTGGTTTTGCATTAAGGATTCCTATTATCTTTTTATATTTCACAAAAATTTGGATCTGAAACCAAAAACATCATTTCTGAAACCTACGTTTCAGCCTTAGGAACCAAAATTTAAAACTGGTTCGGTAGAATTTAACACCGTTAGTTCTCTCTAAAAAGTCAACAGTCGGGTTTCGGAGCTCAATTTTGAGACCAGTTTTTGTGTTCTGAAACCTAAAACTAACAAAAACTTACCATTTAAGACCCGGTTTTTGGCTTATGGTAT